TACTTAGGATTAGATATATCAAATACTAATGATTTATAGATAATAGATATGGTAAAGATAGTAAAGAATGTAGTTGTTTTTTTAGTTCCAACTAAAATGGGAGCAGTTAGGTAAAGGTGACATTTACTGCACACTCCACAATACTGTCTTAACCGCAGCAGATAAAATTATATTGACCAAACTACAACTGTAATGACATAGACCATCCTTAAGTTATTGGACATAATAGAAACAAGGCTTCCTAATAAACACAGTGAAACTTTTCACATGATAAATGATGTTGTCCATGCATTTTTAGTCATTATGTAGTTAGTTAATTTTTGCTTAAATATTTATATTTTGCAGTGGTGGTACTAGAGAATGAATTGATGTACGGAGTTCCTTTTGAATTTCCTACAGAAGCTCAATCAAAAGATTTTCTGATTCCTATCGGAAAAGCCAAAGTAGAAAGGCAAGGTAAGACTATGCATTTAATATACATTTAAACATTATTTTTAATCCAGCCCCTTTATTTTTTTTAAGTCAAATGAAGTCTAGAAGGTATTGCCATGTATTTTGACTAAAAAGTAAAGGTGAGCTTAGGTTAAGAATGTGTGGAGCTGGGGACGTAGCTTGGTCGTGGAGCACTTGTCTAGCCCGCACAAGGCCCTGGGTTCATTCTCCAGTACCACAAAGGGGGGAAAAGGTATGATGTGTGATGCCTGATTTTTCATACAGTTATGCTTCTCAAATCTCAGTCCAGTAGGTGTGTATTTCATTTTTAGGAAGGCGGCCACATTCCTTGGCTCACTGGAATGAAATTGAGGACTTGACAGATGAACAAGAGCCACAGCTAACTGCAGACTGGTACCGCATCTTTATTCTCAACCTGACCTCTGACCTGTGACCATTCTGTTTCAGGGACACATATAACGGTGGTTTCCCACTCCAGACCTGTGGGCCACTGCTTAGAAGCTGCTACGGTGCTATCTAAAGAGGGAATTGAATGTGAGGTGAGTGGACATTCATTTGCTCTTAAGAAATCAGAAAGCCTCTTTAAATATAAGACCTAGAAATGGGAGTTTGAGTTCTGTAATAGGTTAGTTGGTTGTAAAATCTTGCTTTGCCACTTAGTTCTGTCTCTCCTTAGACCTAAGAACCAGCTTGCTTATCACATAACTTAGCTTTTTACCACTCAGGTTCTAGGTCTTTTAGAATAGTACTTGCTTTCTCAAGACTTAGCCTTTGGGGCTGGTCTTAGGCACAAACTCAGAAATTAATGATTCTAACTTTCTCTGTAGGACCTGTGCTTACTATTTACACTTGGGCAAGATACATACTCCACTTCTCATCAGCTATAAAATGAGGATAATGTAAATACTACTCCATCGTGGGATGGCTGTAAGCATTATACTGAGTGTAGGGCCTGGTGCATGCTAAGCTCTCCGTGCAAGTTGGCTATTATTTATTTTGCCAAGATAGAAGTTAGAGCTGAGGAGGAAAAATGAATTCTATATGTGAACAGAGCTGCTGAGAGAAGAGATTTTTGCTTTAATTACAATTTTCCTTTTACATTTTGTACATTCATTAACAAGAAACAAAAAAAGGAAGTTGTTATTATAGGGTCCAGGCTATCTTTGTGCTGCAGTGCTTCCATAAAGCGTATTTATTATACTGTCTGTTTAGGTGATAAATATGCGTACCATCAGACCAATGGACATTGACACCATAGAAGCCAGTGTCATGAAGACAAATCATCTCATAACTGTGGAAGGAGGCTGGCCACAATTCGGAGTAGGAGCTGAAATTTGTGCCAGGATCATGGAAGGTATTTCAGAGAAACTGGTTCTAGAATGTAGTCAAGCTATAATAAAATTAAAGCCTTAATTCGTACTGGATAAAGAAAGAAAAAAAACTAGGGATGGCCAAAAGACTTGGCGATTCAATTTGTCATTTTGGCATTTTTTCCTTTGGGTAAGTGTTTTAAAAAGCAAAGCCAGAAACAGTTCCCCACAACTAGAAATTCTTCACCTATGTTTTCTTTTCCTGGGTAACCACATCTCTGTGTTAAAGTGGGTAGTAGTCAGCTGGCTTCTGTCGCCTCTCTCAGGAAAGCCTGCCTTCTCTCCTAGGCCCTGCATTCAATTTCCTGGATGCTCCTGCTGTTCGAGTCACTGGTGCTGACGTCCCTATGCCTTATGCAAAGATTCTAGAAGACAACTCTGTACCTCAGGTCAAGGACATCATATTTGCCATAAAGAAAACATTAAATATCTAGTTTGTACATGAATATCAAGTCACTGAGATTTACTTAAAATACTTGTTGGGACTTCACCTGGATTGTACTGTAAGACCTTACAATTCAACAAGTTCTCTCTAAGGCAGCAACAGGTGTTTTGTACTGGTGGGATGTTTGAATGTGTTTGAATGGGGAAGACTCCACTCTTCTGCCCTAGACTCCATGCTTTCACTGTTACGGTTGTCCTGTTCTTTGAATGCATTAATGTAAAATTTTACCTCTTTTGCTAGAAGGACAAGGTATGAATGTGGCATAGTACTGATGAAAGTTATATCCAAAAAAGATAACTTATATGTATAAATAAAGTGTATAATCTACATTTACTGTTTGATTGTTTTGATAAGGAATAAAGGAATTCCTGATTATATTTTTTATATTCATGAAATGATTAACGTGGGTGGAAAATTCAAAATTCTTTACGAAATTAGCCATGCATATTGCATTGCCTATAATCCCAGCAACCCAGGAGGCAGAGTCAGGAGGATAGCAAGTTTGAGACCAGCCTCAGCAGCTTGAACCTTAAGCAACTTTGTGAGATCATGTCTCAAAATTAAAAATAAATAAAAAGGGCCAGGGATGTAACTCAGTGGTAAAGGGCCCCTGGGTTCCACCCCCAATACCCAAAACAAAACCCAATGCTGCCTCTTGTGGTGGCACATGTTTGTAATCCCAGCTACTCAGGAGGCTGGGGCTGGAAGATTACAAGTTCAAGGCTAGCCCGGGCAATTTAATGTCTCAATTTAAAAATTAATAAAAGGTCTGGATATATAGCTCATATGTAAGAGTGCCCCTGGTGTCAATTCCTAGTACTGCAAAAAAGAAGAAATTGATGCCAAATGGAAACAAAGCTGGTGTACAAAATCATTTTCATTTTTGGCAGTGGTGTTCCTCTGGTGCTGGGGATCAAACCCTGGGCCCTGTGCATACTAGAAGCTCTGCCACTGAGCTCTGGCCCAGCTCCACATTGCTTGTTTTTATTCAGTATATTTAAAACTTTATGTAAAACAACAAAGCTGACTTTAGAAGGCCCACAGCTACCATCAGGAACAGATCACCTAGACTCCATCACACTTGGAATGGGATCTTGTCCACACACTCTTCAAATACCTGATTCTAACAGGTTCCTTTTAAAATGAAGACAAAATTTATGTCAGGTGTTTTTCTCACTACCAAAAAGACATTGTCATACATTACCCTCATAAGTTGAGATGGAGAAGATAGGTTTAAGTCAGTTAGTGAAGAATATTTAAATTATCTAATGTCGAATTTAAATACTAAGATGTAAATAATGATTGTTAGTTCTTATTAACAAATGATAGGACACAAAAGAATAAAGGCCGGATAGGTAGGAAGGAAACTTTAGATATACTGTGTTAATGTAAGCTTTATATTTACAAAAGATGCTGTAAAAAGTTCTCATTTGAAACATGTAGCCAAGCTCCAGACAACATGTTTTTCTTGACTTGGTTTATTTTAATAAAAAATACAGCTGAACATTTATCACAGATTACATGAAACTATACACAATGACATTCTCTCTGCATAGTAACCAACACTGATGTGTGTACTTGAATTTTAAAATGGATTATTTATAATCCTTTAAAGTGCAATTTATTTAAAGGTTTAAGCAAATCAGGATAAAAGATTTCTAATAAATGAGTAACATTAAAAAAGATGATATGTTCAATAAGTCTTTCAAAAATCAGAATTGATTTATATAGATGCCAAATTTGCTTGTGTTATAATAACAACCACCCAGATGACTTTGCTGTTGAGGACTACGCAGATCCTCTAACTAGCTAGCAAGAGCTTTTTTGTGTCTGTTTCAGTACATTCTAACTAAAATGAACTAGGAATCCACAGAGTAGTTGTTCTCACAGCCCCAAGTTCTACAGCCAAAATGGGATTCCTGGTGGAGCCTGAGACTGTTAGGAACTCCCCCATTTTATTTGAGGGAAGAAAAAAATGTGAAGAACTCAGTGGCTTCTCTGACTCAACAACATAACTGTGCTTTGGGCCACAGTATTAATGTCTGAGGTGAAATAAAAGTAGCAGAAATGGGAATTAGCTAAGAAATAATGAGACAATGCTTCAGAGAAAATAAGCTATGAGAGGAACATTTCTGATGGGGTAGGAGGGATTGCAACAGAAAGGCCATTCACTATGGTGACGGAACATTGTCATTGCTTCTGTCTCTGTCCATTTCCTTTAAATAGTGAAAATATTGATTCCAATATGTGGCTGCCCCCAAAAGATGTCCATTAGCAGACTACCAGACTCCTTCACAATGCTGACAAAGGAACAACACATTTCTTAAGGCAGCAACGCCAGCTCCACTTTATTCTATTTGGAGGACGGCTCCCTCCTAACAGGCCTCTTAGCCGAGCATCTGCAGAACAGTGTGCGGCTGTACTGATTCCTCAAGGGCTCATCCAGGAAGAAGGGTCTTTAGTGGGTAGGAGTGGGGCAGACATGAATTCTTCCCTCAGTGTAAACAGGAAGCCTCAGCCAATCTTAGGAGCACTGTGGTCACAGGTTTCGGTTTTTCTCAAAGTTCCCTTTTGGAAATTCTGGATGGAGCTGAGCAAGGCCCCTCGGCTCACACCATTCACAGCCTGGGATGAGAGCTGTGCAGGCACCTCTGTGCTCACAGGAGGCAAGGGAGCTGCTGGCGGTGGAGGTGGAGGCGGAGGAGGTGGAGGTAATGCAGATAGCCCTGTGGAGGCAAGGGGACAGTCAGTATCCACCTCCCCCCCAGCCCTGGGCACTGCTGCTGCTCAGACCTGGGTGGAAAGGACTGAGGGGAGACTGCAAATGTTCTCCTCAGAGGGATCAAGATACCCAGTACTGTACCACTCTCTAAAACACTGAACAGAAAAGCTGAAGCATCAAAGGGGAATTAAGATTGTCATTTGCCTCAAATATCAGATGAGAAGACTGTTGGAACAAATATCACAGATTACATGGCAACATACACAATGACATTCTTTTTTCCTTTTTTTAAATTTGAGAGTGGGTCTTGATGTTGCTGAGCATCTCACTAAATTGCCAAGGCTGGCCTCAGACTTTCAATCTGCCTCAGCCCTACTGAGTTGCTGGGATGACGGGCATTGGCTACCATGCCAGGCCACAGTGATCCTTTGTCTACATAAATACGGTGCTGATCTCATTTTCCAAATTTAAGTAATGGTACCAAAAGAAGAGTTCCATCAGCCACTTTAGCCAGGTATGGGGCAGCCCCACCCATTCTGAGTTAGATGTGTGATGCAGACATCTTTCTGCACAGCACTGAGCTACCTGAATGCCAATTACTCAAAGGGATGACTAGTTCAGTGGTTCTAACGTGCAGTATTTTGACGGATGTGATTTAAAATAAAATGATAAACCACTGAGGATTCTCAGCAAGGAACCAGCACCTGCTGGGTTATGCATTCCCCGAAGGAGTCTGTCTTGAAGAGTCATTTTCTACTGGGTTGGGTTAAAGAAATATAAAACACTAGTGATTGTGAGCAGTGTAAAGCAAGCACTTAAAGGGGTCTCTCCTTGGCAATGACATTCTCAGGGAGAAGTCTCTTGTCAAGTGCTGTTCTTTCCACGGTAGTCCAACTGAGGAACTGAATGGAACTGTACCTAGACATGCATCTCTGTGGTGCATCAGGAGGGGCCAGAATGCTGAGCTCTACTTGGCAAGGAGGGGAAGCTAGACAGGTATCTAAAACATGCCCACCTCTAAGGCACATGGATATTTGCAACTTGAATTTCATATTTTTGAATCAATGAGTGAATTGTTCTCTCGGGACAAAATAAATACTAAGTACAGAAATAGCACTACCTTACAGAACTTTCCTATGCACAGGGTTAGTGGGTTTATGTCCTGTGAACCTGTGTCTCCCTGGAACTCTACTATTTATTGCTGCCCTGTCCTCTACCCCTGCTAGGGCTACAGCAGGGAGACATTCTGCTGGATGGCTCCCCACACTGTGGTGAGCTACAGTGAGAACAGGAAAGACACCTGTATGGATGAATTTGTATGGATGAATGGCTTGGGGTGACCCAGAAAATATTCAAGTTAGCATATCCTTCCCACCAACTGTGACAGGCAACAGCTGAAATCTTGTAATTCATAGAAAACCACTTACCTTCCTTTATATCTTTTACCCCAACCTAAGACAGTTAAAATTGAAGAATGACACAAATACATACACCCATGCTCTGCAGCCTTGGGATTCTCAGTGATCAATACAAATAAAGATTAAATACAGACAAATGAACAAAATGTAACTTTCATTGATCTATTGGATAACAACTAATGCATGAAGGGCAATTACGTTCTGTGCTGGCGTCCATTGTGGGAAGATGTTCCTGACTTTATGTCACAGGGTTATAAAAAGGGCTTTAAACCTGAAGTGACTGTTGAGATGAAAAACCCAGGTGGAATGAGAGTGTGATGGAAGTGTTCCTCTGAAGAGGACTTCTGGACGTGACCAGTGAAATGCCAGGAGAAGGGAGCCCTGCCCGCTTAGGTGCCAATGCCCCCTACCAGACACTCTCACCCAGTGGCCAGAAGAGAGGACTCCAGGGTTTCTTCCTTTCAGCTTTGTGCTCTGACCCCTGGCAGAAGAATCACTGCAGGGTTAAGAATGAGAAGACAGAGTCCGGCAGTCCAGAACTGGCCACCCAGAGACTGGTTATTCCTGAAGCCCAGGATTCTGGAGGGCTAGAGACGGGACTTGGGGAATGGGCTTATAGGTATGGCTGGCCATCCTGGCACAGAACAGAAGTGCCTGGCCTCACAGGGAACCAACCCTTAACTTTGGCCTCTTTGTCCAACATTGACATTAAGAGTGTAAATTACTACCAGAGTTTGGGAGTTGTGGGGGGAGTTCAGTAAATATATCTTCATTTTCCCAGGAAAGGCTGAAACTTGCCATTTTGATCACTTTGAAAAGGTAGATATTGGAAATAAACAGACTGTTGAAAGTGCTGTGGGGTGATTTGTGCCTGTAGCAAGGATGCTAAGGGCTGTGTGAAAGGAGAGCTGCCCACCCACCCCTATGTCTGCTCACAGAGGGTCAGACCGGCATCAAAGGGCCACTCTTCCTCACTAGGCCTGCAAGAACTAGGTCTTGATGTATACAGTCACATTCACGGAAGGCCAGAGCCCACATTACCAGCTCAGAACCCCCTCTGCAAGGGGAGGGGAGGCCTAGGAGTCAGAGGTCAAAACAGAAGGAGGCAAACTGCACTCCAGGGATTGAGTCTTGACAACAAGTTACATCTATTGTCCCTGGTCTTTTCTTCTTGCCTTTTTAAGGTCACAAGCTTCCTTTAAAGGTCTGTTGGGACTTAAGCTACAATATACTGGTAACAATGGCAGGGGTGAGGTGTGGATGGGGTTCAGGAACTATGAGGCCTGTGACAAACCTAGGAACAACTGCCTGATGTGTGCTCCATGTCTCAAATGCAAAAGCTCCTCCTGCAAAAGGTCCCAGATAGTCCTTTCCCCAGGTGACAGAGTAGGCTGGCCTCACGTTATGCATCTAGGATGGGAGATAGTCAGTCCTGATCTCTCCCAGCTCCCTTTCTCTTAGAAAAAATCTCCAAGACCAGTTACTCTACCCTTCCTGAAATCCCCTCCATCAAACTCAATGGGAACCAGGCCGTCCAGTAGAGGAAAGTACAGGCTGCTGCCCCAAGAAAGTAGGTGAGACGTAGGGAGGAATGCCATTCCAGAAACACCCTAGACAGCCTCATGGAAAGGACATCTAAATCCTCTGTCCTCAGGCCAATTTTAGCAGAGGGTAATTTACAGGTCTCTGTGGCTGAGTTCCTTTCTGGTCCACACACATAGGTGGGAGGCCAAGTGGCCACCAGACCACTCTAAAGCCTTACCAGACTACCTACCACTCTCAGGAGAGAGTGGAGAGCCCCAACTCCTGGTCCCCAGGTCTTGGGAACCACCTTCACTTTGACCTCAGGCAAAGAAGGAGGCTATTCCTAGGTCCCGACTAGAGAATTTTTAAGGATGCTTTAAAAAGAACTGTTCCCGACCATCATCAGTTACGCAAGCCAGTAAGCTGTCTCCCTGGAACCCCAAAACCCTACATCCTTTTCCTAACACCTTTTCCTCTAGATCAGAGTGAGAAGGGACCAATATTTCTGTAACAATAGGACTTTGAGAGTCATGGTTTCCAAAATTAAAATACATCAAAATGCCATGCAGTCAATTAGCAGGTTTTAGAGCTGTATTTTATAACGAAAATCAGAGTGAAAATGAAGACTTTTGAAGGTCGTGATGGAAATGAAATGAATATAGATGAAGTCATTTGGGTGCTTTTTAAAGATGCTGTATTTCATTGAAATGTTCCAGTAAGGACACAGTCTCAAATCTGCTCTCCCACGTGCTCATCACCTTAGTGATCTAGATACTTTGGGTTCTAGTCACATACAGAAACAGAGCATCTTTAAAGTTAGAGAAATTAGCATAGCTTACTTTACCGAAAATTCACGTTCAAAATGGTGCATGCTCTACTGAAAACAGCAAAGAGAAAGAAAGAGAGAGAGGACACAAGTCATTATTCAGGTTTTAGTGTCATTTAATCAAACAGTAACAGACAGTAAAATCAGACAGTCTGAATCACATGCTAATTAATCTCACTGCAAAACTAGGAGATGCTCAAATTAACCACAAAATGCCCTGGTTTTTAAACCTGATTGTGACCCTTTTAGGACATGGGAAATCTAGTAATAGAGCAATCAATGAGTCACTTTCCTCTTCAGAGTCTTTCTCTCCTGAGCCAGTTAGGTGCTATTTTTATTTCTTTATAAGCACAGTGCTCACTTCAAAAGAGCCAGGGAGGTTCCCGGCCCTGAAGAGCATCAGCAGTGTACTTCATTCTATTTCCAAACAAAGACCGAGGGGAGGAAAGGAAAACTCTGCACTTTTTTATTTTATTTTATTTTTTTGCAAGCAAGACTTGAAGTGTCTAAAATAGAGACTTTCTGAAGTTGGGAAGAGAAAAAGCATAGGGCAGGTCCAAGGTGAATCGCCTGGGTGGGAGGCCTCCCAGGCAGAGATACGGGTCACCTTCCCTTGGTAAAGCATGAATAAGGCAAGAAAGGAAGGAAAGAAGGAAGGGAGGAAAGGAAGAAGAAAGGCAAATATTTTTCTTGTCTTCTTTTCAACTGATAAGTTTCCAGTTTAATGTGAAGGATAATGGTTTTCCAGAGAGGGAATCCCAGAGTTCCTAAGGAACAAATTCCATACACTGCCTGGAGGAAAAATCCCCTCCCTGGAGGTGGACCAGGAACTAGCACCCCCTGGGCGGTACAGGCTGACCACTCACACCAGGATGGTCTGGAAGACACAAAGGATGCTGGGAACACCTGCCCACCTCTCCTCCCCATTCTAGGAGAGTACTCTAAGGAGGAGGTCATATACTAGGAGCTGGACTTGCAAGAGGAGGAGGAGAGCTGAGAATGGCCACAGCAGGTGGCAGCAGTGGGCAGGAGAACAGAGTCAACACGTGCTTCAGAGTTTGGCTGCAGGGCAGCCCTGCTCATCCCAGAGAGTGCGCCTTTGTGTATGTGTGGTTTCTGAGAGACAGACAGACCATTCTTATGGCCAGACACAGCAATTTTGAGTCTACAATGAGGTTTTAGGCTTTGATTTGATTAAGTAAATTTTAGAAATTTCAACATTCTAAATAAAGTCATCTCTTTCTTTGTGCCTTAAGTCTTCTTTTCCTCCTTATTAGTCCTTCACTTTCTGTCCCATTCTTTAAACCCCTAATCACTCTTCATGCCCACGAGGCTCTGCTTTGCTACCTCCAGCTCTCTGGAGTCAAAACTTCTCTTTTTCTCCACTCATTCTTATAGACTGGGTTTTCTACAAACTGTCAGATCTCCTTCCTCAAAACGATTGCTTAAAATTAAACTGTAAGCAACAAGGGCTAAAATTCTCTGATGACAGACACTTAGCTATGGCACTTCATTGCTTATAGCTTTGCTGTGTACAGCATCTACCTAATAAGGTGCAGGAGTTCTTTTAAAAGACAGTTTCAACCGGGCGCAGTGGCACACACCTATAATCCCATAGTTCAGGAGGCTGAGACAGGAGGACCACAAGTTCAAAGCCAGCCTCAGCAACTTAGCAAGGCCTTAAGCAACTCAGCGAGACCTTGTCTGTAAATAAAATATTTTTTAAAAAGGGCTGGTGATGTGGCTTAGTGGTAAAGTGCCCCTGGTTCAATTCCTGGTATTAAAAAACAAAAACAAAACAAAAAAAAAACAAAAACAAAAAAAACCAGCTTCAAAGAGTGGAAATTATTTGCCCAAGATCACAGCAGGCAAGTGATAGAGCTAGGACTCAGGACTCACTTCAGGTTTCCTGATTCTATATTTGGGATTCTTTCTTATTTATCAATCACACAGGAGTGCTTTACCACTGAGTCCTTTTTATTTTTTATTTTGATATAGGGTCTTGCTAAGTTGCCCAGACTGGCCTCAAACTTGGGCTCCTCCTGCCTTAGCCTCCTGAGTGGCTGGATTATAGGTGTGTACCACTGTGCCTGGCTTGGGGGTCCTTCTACACAAGCTGAGAAGTGTTTAACAGCATAGGCCCAGCAGTGCACCCTGAAAAAAGCAGGCACTCAATAAATCAGTGGGGCAAATGAACAAAGGTAGAACCAAGCTCCAATCCTGACCCTAGCACTCCCTACTGTCTGACCTTAGCCAAGTTCTCTCAGCCCTACTATAGCCTCAGTTTCTTTTTCTGTAAAATGGAACTCAACTGGAGTCAACTCTCATTGGAAAATATTCATGGAGAATAAATGAAACAGTGGTTACAAATCATTTAGAATAGTACCTGACACAAAATAAGTGCCCCAAATATGTTAGGTGAGATTATTAAAAACAACAGCTTAGGATCTCCTGCTTATTTAGGTTTCCTAAAACACTCGTTTACTAATCTACTTAAAATAATTTAAAAAAAAAATTGATAGCAAAGTAACAGAACTTTCTGCTCCCTAAGTGGGGTGGAAGTGAGAACTTTTAACCCGCTCAGCTCTATGAAAACAGAGTATAAACACTAGTTGGTGGCATTCACTATGACACAAGTCAGGATAAAGAATTTTAAAGTTCTTGAAAGACTGACCTTCCTAGGGCAAGAAAAAAAAAAAAATCTTTAGAAGAACAAAAAAATGTTAGGAATGTTCTCACTGAAAAAAATAGGATCATAGTAAAAGTATTAGAGAATGCCACCCTGCCCAATGGAACTGCCAGCCTTAGGGAAATTATATTCCTCCACCAATTTGTTAAGGAACTCAATAGACCCCAAGGCAGGAGCTACAGAGAAAAGGGAGTAGCCCCTCCATTTAGAAACATCTGCCCCATCCAGAAAGTAACCGAAAATTAGGTCACACTTAGCTACCTTAAATGTACCCGTAAAACTGAGGCTTTCCAGAAGAGAAGCACTGCTGCCTGCTCAGCTCACCTAAGCTGACCTATTGCTGTTGGTCTCTAGCTGAGTGAAGTGCCAGAGGGCAGAGTCCACACTGGGTTTAGAGTATGCAGATTAGAAGGAACTGTGACATGGTCTCTTCTAACTTTTGCTTTTCTGTCATTTACCGAGGAGGTAACCAAAACCCAGCAGTGGAAACTGACTGGTTCCAGGCCTTGGTAACTAACAGTGAACAGAGGAACGCATTTGCCTAAACTAGATCTGCCAATCTAGAGCTCCTGAGATGCTGAAAAGGTGACTCCATGAGGGCTGGGACCTTGTCTGCCTGTCACACAGCCCCTGGAAATCACACGCTCCCTAAAATGCATCTTGAATGAAGAAACTCCCTGTGGGAACCCCATTTGGGGCCTGCAATGCTAGGTTGCTAGGCAAATGCTAAATATTATTTTTTTATGAGATGTATTACAAGAAATGCCCAGCAGAGGTCAGAGTACTGTATTTGGGGTGACATCAATAATTTGATCAACCCTGAAAAATAGGAGTCCCTACTTGCTGGGGACTTCCCATCTCTGTCAGTTATTGTGCTTAGACCTCAATATTTTCCCTCTAAATCCTCAAGATTCCCCTTCAGGGTAGGTACTGTCAAATTCACCGTATTGCCTCCTGCCATTTCCACTCACCTTAGAGGAAGTTTTCCCAGTACCAACTCTAATGACAAAAGATTCCCCTTTTTCTTCTCACATTCTAAGTTACCTCATCTCATGCAAACATACTACTGTGTTAAATAGCTCCCATGTAAAGCAGAGGTAAATTAGAGACTTCTTCCCCCCAATCCAAACAAATTGCACATTTTCTATGTCATTTAAAGATGAGAATTAGCGATGAACTGTCCAGACACATCTAACACACATGGTGAGGTGCTCTGTGCAGTAAAGAGACACCTCGCTTGTTAAAGGAGAGCTCATAGAATCTCCAAGTTAATGTTCTTCATATGTCCAAGTGGTATAAAATTAATATTCTAACTTTTAGAAATTAGCTCAACAATGTGGTCTGGACAGCGAATCTCCAGAAGTCTGTGATCAACCTAAACAGATCACCTCATAAAAGACACATCAACCTGGATCAGTATTTGGGAGTTTCTTTAAAAAACAATCTGCTGATAAAGACAAAGACAAGAATATCCTGCTATGAGCCAGGTTCTTCATTACTCCAGAAAAGTCCTGGCCCAGAATATTCTACATAAGCCTCTGGTAACTACTCTTAGCCATCAGGAAGGCACATACCAGCCTGAAGCAGGGGGTTCAAATTAGCTCCCTTGTATTTGCTTGTTGTCATTTCCTCAGGAGGGTCAGGAAGAAGTATTTGAGAACAACCGGAAAATGCTCTTGGTAGCTCCTGGATACTACCCTAAACAGTAATGAATGTGGTATTGTCAACTCCTGTATCAACCTTCTTTCAGAAAGTTGTAGGAACCTTTCCAAGAATCGTTGATGAGCTCTGAGTGAAGAGCCAGCTCCTCAGACATCTAGAACAGCTGGTTCATTTAAGAAGTGAAAGGATATATGCTGCTCCAGAGTGTTTCCACTGGGCTTGCAAAATGCTTAGAAAGATCTTTGTTCAAAGGGAAGAAAGCCAAGAAAGTATTATGAGACCATTCTGCAGAATCAGAGTTCTGTAAGTAAGCTCCCAAGCTAAACTCTCTCTCTCTCTCTCTTTTTTTTTTTTTTTTAGTTGTAGATGGACCTTTATTTTATTTATTTATCTTTATGTGGTGCTGAGGATCAAACCCAGTGCCTCACACATGCTAGGCAAGTGCTCTACCACTGAGCCACAACCCCAGCCCCCAAGCTAAATTCTTTTTAAAATTTTCAAACAAAATTCACAGTATCTGATTTAATTCACATAGGTGAAACAAAGGCTAATGATAAATTACTATCAGAATAATTAAATGCATTACAGAGTAGAATAGAGTGCAAGTAGTTATCTGGAAACCAGAAGACAGTGGTGGGATTTCGCACCTCACCTAGACAGCTCACCATTTCTGCTCTGACACAAAACTCAGATCATGAATGGGCTCCCTAAGGAGAAAGCTCCCGTAGGACAGGGCCCTGGGCAGTAGTGCATTTGTTTTGTCCCAAGACAAACTCTGACCCAAGGATCCTTTTGTGAGGCTTTGTAGCCAAGAGAGCAAGCTTGAGCCAGAGTGGTAAGTGGCCCCGAAACCAGTCCATTTCCTATGAACTCAAGCTTGGAAATGAAAACCCTGAGCTCTCCTGGAAGACACAGCTAATCTGCATTCCCACTGGTCTTCCCAGGAGAAGGCAGTGCTACCTAATATTGAAATGCCTGGGCCAAGGCACGAGAGAAAGAGCCCGCTTCTCCCATGGGTGGAGAGGAGGGAGTCACATGACCTTACCCCATTACTGACCTGCTGTAGAGGGTGGAGTCGGCGACGATGGGGATGTGAGAGGTGAGCTGGCCCCAGATCCTGCTAAGATAAAACACAGGGAAATCCTCATGGGGGACCAAAAACAGACATTTGGAATTTGGAATAAGCAGAAACCCATCGCTGCCTTGTGGGCCTTGTAGAACAATGTGATAAAGGACAGAAAATTCACAAACTGGACTCAAGGGCAACAGACTTTCATCCCAGTCCAAGGTCTGCTTTCTTCCCCAGGTCCTCAAACGCCTGTTGAGTCCCGCTGCCCCCAGCAGCTTGACTAGTTTGAAACCAACTTTGTTTAATCAAAATAGCTTTGGAAGTTGGCAATAACTTCTCTTCCGGACCCAACCTCATCTCTGGGTAATGACAAATGACAGTGGTCAGAGCAATACAGGGAACAGGGAGGTACAGAACAGCCTGATGGGAGCTTCTCCAAGGAAAACAAGAGCTCCTCACAGAATCCACCTAGCATTGCTTTCTATAGAAAGGTACATTTCTGAGTGGGTACGATCAATTAGACAGGGTCCAGCCTGCAACCTATGGATTTTCCATGTTTTTTCTTACATGACATTCAGTAAATACAGTAAAACAGTATTTACAGTAAAACAATGTGCAAAATTCCACACATTGCATGCTTTTCCTGGGTCAAGTAGCCTTGTTATATTTCAAACACTCCCAAGTTCTCAGCATCTCCCTGTAGCTTAGACATCCCTAAAAAATAATCGCACTGGATGGACAGGGACGCAGCCCTAGAAGCAGATGGCAGTTCCTACATAAGCCTCTTCTATAAAGACAAGAAGCCCCACCTCCCTTGCACATGGAGTTCCTAACCAAGAGCCTCCAGGGCTGATGGGCACACACCCCAAAAAGGAGGGCCATCACCTTTTGCTGTTGTGGTTAAGCTCACAGCCATGACCACACTCCCAATCCCCTCCCTCATGGATACTGCATGCTGAGAGACATCCTAATTAAGCCATGCCTTCCTCTAGCTTCCCTTATTCGCAATATTCCTTTAGCTCCCTATAAAATATGAGCTTTCTACTGAAATAGGAGGTAAAACTCTGGGCTGGGGATAGAGCTCAGTTGGTAGAGTGCTTGCCTTGCACAGAAGGTAAAATTCACACTGTTTGTAGTGCTGACAGATTTTCACCGAAAGAAGACCAAACTTGGGTCCCAGTAGTGTCTCCCGGTAATCTGTACATTTCCTTCAACAACCCTTACTTCACTTTTCTCTCAGTTTTTTCTCCAGCCCAGGCAGATATCCTCTTGGCTGACTTCACCCAGGAGAATGAGGCATGACCTGTAAAGATCCTCACTTTCCTCCACCATTTTCTTTTTTTTTTGGTGCTGGGAACTGAATCCAGGGCACTCAACCACTGGACCACATCCCCAGCCCTCCCCCCCCCCCAGGAGAAAGCATATTAATTTTATTTGATGTTAATTCTTTTAAGTGGCATGGAGTTTCCATAGAAAATAAATGATAAGCCCAAGAAAGCTCTTAGACTTAGGGATTTATATACCATTTTAACCAAGGGCAATAAATCGTGGAGAAATGACTAGACAAAAGAAAGGAATTTCAACTTGTAGAGATGGCACACCAAGAGAAAGTGACTCAGAAATACATGGGGGAATTAATGAAAGATAAGTGTTGTTTCAATATGGTTTTTTTCCAGCTGCTTTTGTATTTTATTTAGAGACAGTCTCACTGAGTTGCTTATGTCCTTGCTAAGTTGCTGAGGTTGGCTTTGAACTCAGCCTCAGCCTCCCGAGCAGCTGGCATTACAGGTGTGTACCACCGCACCTGGCAAGGCCTACCCCTTTGAATCATCTTGGGCTTTCTGGAATGATGCTCTTGCCATCCTCACACACCACTGAGTCCTTTCCTTAATCTATGCAGAGAAGCCCATCCTTCCACCATGTGGGGTGCAGAGCAGAGGGCAGGATTAAGGGTTCTTTCAGTTAATGAAGCCTCTACGGAAAGATAGGATTCCTTGCATTTTAAGTAGGGTCTGTTTTACTTCCATGGCGAATGCTCCTGTGTAGGTGGCTGATTAGCCAATGACAATGAAGAAGCAGAGCTACCTAATAACCTCTGAGATCCTCTAGCACTTGAGTTCTGAAGCCATGAATGCTGTCACAATCCTTCAACAGGATCAGAGTTCTTCTGTTTTCTGTATGGGTGCCCAGTCTACGCCCACAAGAATCCAAAACCTCTGGATCAACCACAGGCACCTGACCTTGACCTCTGACTCTTGGGCCCCACTAAAATCTATAGCCAGTTACCTGAATTATTAGAGTTGCTGTACTTTGCTGAATGCTCTTCACTATTTTCAATAGCAGATTGTTTCGACTTCTTTAAAAGAAAGAAGGGAGCAAAGAATAAACATGCTGAAGCTGAGAGTTAGAATAAAAAATTTTCCAGACATACAGTTAAACTAGCTACAAACAAGGTCATATTTGGCTTCATAACTTAGCACAGTGAAGAAGCCACAAGCCAAAACTAAAGAGGGAAATAAAACCCAGAATGCTGACTTCACTATCTCAGGCCGATCATTTCCACCAATTACATTTTGCCATAACAACCTCAGTAAGCCAGGAAACTATATGGTCCATTACACTGCTGATGTTATGTGGCTTTTAAAAAGCTCCAAACCAGTCATCTGGAAGTACTTTCAGCTTTCAAGGAGATACAGCACAAAGTCATTAAATGTTCACCTAGAACTTTCCTCACACTAGTCGAGCATTCACCAGGAACTCAGAGATGCCAGGCTTACCTTCCGAGCTAAGATCTTTCTCTTTTTTCTTTCTTCTTCAGATCCATGATGTGACTGAGCTCTTGTCAGTCTTCGATGCTGGTGAATCTTTAAGAGATCACAATCCACCACAATGTAAGCACATCCTACATAAGGCATTTTCCTAAAGAAAATCTTCTCCAATATGCTTTGCTAAATCAAATTATTTGGGTAAAACAATCAACAATCTTGTTTTTTTTTTTGTTTGTTTGTTTGTTTTTACTCAGCCTGCCTGTCTCCTGGCTTGGGTCTGAATGTCTGGGAGGAGAGTATGCCAGGTGATGCACAACTTCTCACTCCCCAGGTTCCTCCCTGCATCTTAGTTTTATTAATTTATTTATTGGTATTGGAGACTGAATCCAGGGCTTCATGCAGCTAGGCAAACACTCTTTCAACTGCGCCACAGCCACAATCCTTTTCATTTTATTTTGAGACAGGGCTTCACTAAGTTGCTGAGGCCAGCCTCAAACTTGTGATCCTTCTGCCTCAGCTTCCCGAGTCACTGGGATTACCAGTATGCACCATCACAGCTGGCCAGTTCCTGGTATCTTTAGGGCATGGACTACACATACCCCTAACCACCTAGCATGCCCTGATCATAAAGAATGACCACCCTTTGTGCCATGTGTTTTCCCCCCATAGACTGAGCTGCTTGTGGGTAGGATTGTGAATATTTGGCCCTTTGTCCCAGTAGCCAGCTTGGAATGTGGTTGAGAGCAACCAAGCACAAAATGTGTAGGGCATGAAAAATCAGTCAAAACTCAACCCCTGGCCAGGTGTGGTGGTGCACACCTGTAATCCCAGAGGCTAGGAAGGCTGAGGCAGGAGAATCCCGAGTTCTAACGCATCCTCAGCAACAGTGAGGCCTTAAGCAACTCAGTGAGACCCTGTCTCTAAATAAAATACAAAGATACAAAGCCAGGCTGGGGATGTGGCTCAGTGGTCCAGTGCCCCTGAGTTCAATCCCCAGAACCCAATAAATAAATAAGTAAATAAATTAAAAAAAAAACTCAACCCCCTGGCGAATACCATGGCAGAGGATGCAGACACTAAAGACCAAAAGGTGATGAAGAACTGTGACCAACTTACCTGTTTCTGTTCTTCAATTAGTCTCTTTTCTATACATTCTTTGGCAATTCTCAATGCCTCTTTTAACTTTGTGGGAATCTGAAAGAAGAAAAAGTACATAATTTATTGAATGAAGGGGCTGGAGAGTCTCCTGAATCCTGGAGTCCATGAGGAGTACCTGATTACCCAGAGGAGTCTCTCTGGAATAAAACCAGTTCGAGCTGTCCACTTGAATGCTATCCCAGCCACATTTAGTGTCCCTAACACACTCACCTCTTGGGCATTTTTTAGCAATGAAAAATAAAAACATAAAACTAAAACAGAAGCATAATCTACAGTTCAAGTAATTCAAGTGGATCTCAAACTGCCAAAATAATCTTGAAGAAGAAAAACAAAGTTGGAAAGCTCAAACATCTTGAGTCTGAAAATAATGACATAGCTACAGTAATCAAAACAGTGTGATGCCAGGTGAGGTGGCACATGCCTGTAATCCCAGCAACTCAGGAGGCTGAGGCAGGAGGATCATGAGTTCAAAGCCAATCTCAGCAACTTAGTGAGGCCCCAAACAACTCAGAGACCCTGTCTCTAAATAAAAAAGGCTATGGGGCTGGGGATGTGGCTCAAGTGGTAGCGTGCTCGCTTGGCATGCGTGCGGCCCGGGTTCGATCCTCAGCACCACATACAAACAAAGATGTTGTGTCCGCCGCAAACTGAAAAATAAATATTGAAATTCTCTCTCTCTCTCTCCCTCTCTTAAAAAAAAGGGGGGAGGGCTAGGGACGTGGCTCAGTGGTTAAGCACCCCTGGGTTCAATCCCTAGAGCAAAACAAAAAACAAAAAAACCCTAGAGTGATAGTGATGTAAAAACAGACACCTAGAATAATGGAACAGTACAGAGAACCTAAGAAAAAACCCTCATATGCAGTCAAATGATCTTTGACAAGGGTGCTAAGAACATCCAATGAGCAAAGAACTGTCTTCAATAAATGGTGCTGGGAAAATTGGAAATCTACATGCAAAGGAGTGAAGCTGAACCCTACACCATTCATAAAACTAATTCAAAATGGATTCAAGACCTAAATGTAAGTCCTAAAACCATAAAACTAAAAGAAAACACTGGATAAAAGCTTCATGACATTAGATTTGGCAATGACCCCCCCCACACACACCCAGTACTAGGGATTGAACCCAGGGACTTTTTTCCACTATGCAAATCCCCAGCCCTTTTTAATATTTTTTTCTAGAGACAGGGTTGCTGAGAGCCATAGCTGAGTAGGAATGACGCATGGCATTTTTAGTTGAAAGGTGACGCCAGCAAGCCATTGAGATGATAATGGTTATGTTAAGATGTATATTCAATTGGATATCAGACCCCTGCTGTCCGCCTCGGCCTGCTACTTTGGAGCTCTGCGGGGACTCCCAGAGAGTTCCCATTGGTTGGGGAAGTGTGGTAGGAGGGATTTCCGGAGGAGGGATTTCCTGTTGGTGTGGTGTGTCCCAGGAGAAGGCCGGGTGCGTGGCATTCGCGGGAGTTTTGGAAACAAAGTTTGTTCCTGCTTGAGTGGCTCATGATTTTGTGCCCAGCCAGACTGCGGCACAGGGTCTTGATAAGTTGCTCAGAGCCTCATTAAGTTGCTGAGGTGACTTGGAACTTGCAATCCTCCTGCCTCAGCCTCCCAAGCCACTGGGATTATAGGTGTGTGCTACCATGCCCGGCCCTGTTATTTCTTAATTTATTAGCTTTTCAAACCAGGAGGAGTCCAGACCTGGAAAAGAGATACCCAGAGCATGTTGAACTTTTTGTCTTTTGTTATTGTTTTAAAAATTAAAATTTAATTTTTTTTTAGTAGGTCATATAGTTAGTTCAAAATCCAAAAGGTGTAAAAAGGTACATACACAGTGAAAAGTCTCCTACCTCACTGCCCTCCTTGGGGTCAGCGAGTGTCACCAGTTTCCTGGTTAACCTCCACAGTCAATACATCTACAGGAACTTAGTTCTGCTTTTTAAAATCATATTGTTTTTATGGAAAGGGTTGCTGGCTTAGAGAAGGAGTGAAATCTAACACTAATCCCCAAATCCTAGGGACTAGAAAGTCTGGCTGGGAGAGAGTATATTTATTGAAAGCCTGAATTAATACATTTCCTAAGAGATTTCAGTGAAGGAGGTGAATTTATTTTTATTTCTTCCTACCTCAGAATCCAAAGAAACCATTTACTCTGTGGGGACTGCTCTGACTAGCTGTAAGGATGGCCTTAGGCCTGAGCCTAAGTGACTCCATTTTAAAACTCCAGTTTGAAACCTGCAGTCTCTCTTGGCACACCTACGGAGCCCTCCAATATGATCATCAGGAATAGCCCTGACATAAACAAGTCACTTCTCCCCACCCTGACAAGCTCAAAGTGAAGTCTCTGCCATGTTGTCCTCACCCCATAAAGGGAAGAGGCAAGAAAATCAGGGTGGGGATCACCAGACCAGATGCTTTAACCCCAGGGCAAATGATGTCACTGAGAAATCTGATGGCCGCTGACAGGGATTGGAAGGGTGGTCAGAAGCCCCCCAACTTAGTATAAGTGATGGAGCAAAGGAACAGACATTCAGCCAGACACTGATGCACTCACGCTGAGAGCCTGATGACGGCCTGGACTGACAGCTCAGCTCTTCTCATCGTTTGCCTGGTCCTCTGCATCTTCCTCACCTCTTTCAAACTCTACAGTCATATCTTGACGGGGTGAGAGGGGTGACTTGTCTCTACGACCCTCTCCTCAACTGGCTGTCAGCTCCACCCCAGGAGAAGCCTGCCTTGGTTCCTCACCTGATCACCACGGTCTGAGTGAATGTGCATCTGCTGGACTTAAAACCTAAGGCTGGAGACTTTTGTTCTGACGCTTGAGCTTAACATGCAGAGGGAATGTTTGTCTGTCGTGAGCCTGTCATGATTGTGTTTGCAGTGCTTAGAATTAATCTAGAATTGTTTGCTGTGAATTGATCATGTCTATTGCAGTGCCTAGCATTAAGGATTGTCATTTTCTTGAGTAAGAACCTATAGAGTGAAATTGTATTGAGCGATTTGAGTGAATAAAGCATTGAAAAGGGCAAAAGCATGTGGACATTCTTTATTTCTCCCCCTCGACTGCATAAGTTGCACCTTTTGACCATCACAACACTAGCAAACAGAGAAGAGGGAAACATTTCTCACTTATACAATCTAGCTTCACCTTGGTTTTCTTTTCTTTGCTTTGTTCGTTTTCATCATAATAGCATGACATGTTTTTTTGGAAAACAGAGAGAAGACACAAAATTACATGTCAGCCTCCCGCCCAAATCTGCACGCAGGTGAGAGATGGGACCTGAATGAGGAGTGTGCGAAAGTAGTCTCAGTTGACCAATGATGACAGGCTGGTATTACTCCCCAGTGGGACACGCAAGTAGACAGCAACTAGAAGGTTAGATACTTGCCAGTGGCCACTTGTCAGTGGCTCTCAACTGGGTGCAGTTTTGTAGACCCTTATCTGGAATGTCTGGAGACACTGTCATGGTATTTTTGTTTTTGTTTTGACTTTCTTTCTTGTTCTTTTTTTTTTTTTTTTTTGTGTGTGTGTGTGTGTGTGTTTGTGTGTGTGTGGTGCTGGGGATCAAACCCAGGGCCTTACACATGCCAGGCAAGTGCTCTACCACTGAGCTACATCCCCAGTTCTTGCCTGGAGACATTTCTGGTTGCCACATGAAGGAAGGGCCTCTGCTTCACACCCTGAAGTGCACGAGCCGGGAGCTCCCACATTAAGGAATTATCCAGCCCAAAAATCAAATGCCACAGTTGAGAAGCCCCGCTGTGGGTAATGGCTGGTATCCTATAAGCAAAGCATTACTCTGGTTTTTCATGCTCTTCCCATGACACCACACCACTGCTTCCCCCGCGACTTCCTTCCAGACTTTTCTCTAGACACAGATATGTGGTTTTACACAGTATATTTCATACCCAGCTTAAAAAAACAAAACAAAACAAAAAAAAAACAGCCCAAATCATAATTGCTTTACATACTATTACAATGCCTTAATACATTTCATTTTTATTGGATTTACTCTTTTTTTTTTTTCAAATGAATGTACTGGAGATGATAAAACTAGTTCCTAATTATAGAGTATTTAGATTACTTTCAATTTTTCCCTATTGTCTACCGTTTCTTATATGACTGAACAAAAAGGTAACTTTCAAGGCTAACTTATTTGTGTTACAAACAAAAAAAAGATATAATCGCTCGCTTTACCTTAAACTGTGGCTTTTCAGAAGTGGTTAGTAAAACATCACTGAATAATCTGTAAAGAAAAGAAAGAAACAAAAATCCTTTTTAAACTAGGTATATTCCCAGAGTAGGATCAAGGCATATTAAGACACCTATAATACCTGAGGTCTCCCTTCTCCCACCACATACTCAGCCCCAGCCAAGCTACCACTCCAAGTTTACCCACAAAGGCAAAGCAATTTACAGGCCACCCAGTGTGATCTCAGGAACTCCCTCCCCAATGGCTCAGGGGTATTAGGGAGCACTGGACCAGCTGTGTGGGGGAGATGGTTTCCCCACCATGGGGCAATATAGTATTTGGAAAAAAAAAAAAAGTATTTTTGCAAAAATATGACAAATAATACATGCAGTAGATATTTCTAAACAAAATATCTGTTATTCTTTTTATTTATTTATTTATGCCTCAGAAAAGGACAAAATTTATTCTAGAGCCCAGCAAAATAAAGAGGAAGTGGAAAAGAATTGCCCTGATTGGAATCTAAGAGAAATATATGTTTTTTCTAATGTTTCTCATGCATAATTTTAAAAAACAGCAGCTTTTGGAGAATAGCAATTCTCTCTTCCAAAGCCAGTCATTAAGAATGATAGCATGGGGGAGCTGGGGTTGTGGCTCAGAGGTAGAGTGCCTGCCTAGCATGCATGAGGCACTGGGTTCAAGCCTCAGCACTACATAAAAATATTATGTCCACCTATAACTAAATAAATATTAAAAACAAAAACAATAGCATGAGGAATTCTGAACTGCTTTGATGAAAATGGCTGCTTGGATAGTGCCCATTTGACCATTCCCTGCTTTGTAAAGACAGGAAATTCATCCCAAGCAGAAGCCACAGGACTGCCTTTTCCTCAGAGGACTCCCCAACCTCCTGACCCTCCCCTGCCAGGCCTCTATTTACTTCCAAAAAACACATTTAATTGAACATATATTACCCCTCGCCCTGGGCTCTTGTCAAGGCTGAAGCCCACAGGATGGAGACTTGGGTGAAGAAAAATATATTTGGATTCACTTTAGAACTAGAAGCCTGGGAGGAAAATGGAAGTGCTTTGGAGAAGAGAGTACAAATGCAAAATCAAGTAAATGAACAGGCTGCCTCCTCCCTACAAATGCATTTTGTTATAAAACTTTGGGTGGAAATTACTTGGGTTTTTTGTTTGTTTTTCTCTTGATACTGGGGATTGAATCCTGGGGTACTTAACCACTTCGCTATATACCCAAACCTTTTTATCTTTATTTTGAGATAGGGTCTTGCTAAGTTGCTGAGGCTAGCCTCAAACTTGAGATCCTCCTGCCTCTGCCTCCCAAGTTGCTAGGATTATAGGCATGTACCACCATGCCCAGGTGGAAATTACTTTGCTTTCTCAACTGGATCCATTTTTCCATATGCATGCATATTTTTATTAATGGCTGTGGGTCTGGACATAGATGCTCCTGGATCTGTGGAATATTCCAATGTCACATCCACAGGGCAGGTTTGTTTCTACCATTCATCTGTCTCCCCAGGGACCAGGACTGCTCCTGGCCTACAGAAGATCCTTTCTAAACACTCATGAGAATAATGAACAAGGAATCTGAAGTTATACACCTTCTTTGAACTTTGCTGCACACTCTTCAAATTGTCCCTTGCCTCCTTTGCCTCTGTTATTGTTTCTGAATCTATCTGTTACACAACAAGCTGGTACAGACAAAGCAATGGGCCTGGGAAACTCCACTCCCACAGTTTCCCAGGTGGAAGTGGCAAAGCTGGGATCCACCTTAGGTCTGTCTGACTCCAGCCACATCCTCCTTAACCTTAGCTCAGCTTCTTCTCCATAAAGGAATAGAAAACGTACCTAAAAGAAAGGCCCCAGAGCACTACATCAACTGCTTTGATGAAGTAATCTCTCAGGAGGTTGAGGCAGGAGGATCGCGAGTTCAAAGTAGACTCAGCAACTTAGCGAGGTCCTAAACAACTCAGTGAAACCCTGTCTCTAAATAAAATATAAAAAGGGCTGGGGATGTGGCTCAGTAGTTAAGTGCCCCTGGGTTCAATCCCTGGTACCAAAAAAAAAAAAAAAAAGTATTGTTAACTCTGTTTAAAGGAGAACGTCTTCTGAATGCACAGCCCTTAGCACAGTGCCTGATACAGGCTAGAAGTTCAACAAATAGTACCCAGTGAGGAAATGAGCAAACAAAGCTCAGAAGCCCAGAAATACATTGCCTTCTCCTAAAGGGCAAACCTCCCAAGGCCCTGTGCTTGCGAACTACCCACAGCTGGGTGCTAACTGACACGCTCAAACAGGTTAGCAAGGAGAGGGGCTTGAGAAGGCCCTCCTTTGGCATTCCTAAATTTGGGGCTTCACATGTATACACACACACACACACACACACAATGCTAATGTTGACAGAGGAGAGACACACATAAAAGAACATTAATGTTCAAGGGCAACATGAGAGAGTGGGGAGGTCATGGTATCATGCTGCAAGTGACCATCAGCAAGCAGGTCACTTCAACTCCACCGGGACCACAATTCAGTCCTTAGTACAGTACCAGGCACAGCAGTCTGGTGTTCAACAGTTATCAAGGTGACAAGCAATGCATATAATTGACTTACGGCATCTGTAAGAGCCGGGAGACGGTAGGCATGCCATTTTTACAGGCGTCACAAGACAGCGTAGACTCCAACACGGCCACTTGAAATGAACAGATACACATTTTAGTTCCACAGAACACGTTGGCAAATCCACTTGGTGATGAAAAGTTTGACACCGCTTTGTAATAACTGTCTGCAGGCTGATCAGGACAGTGTCAAAACTCTTCACACACAGACAGATGGCATACATGGGGGGAGGGGGGATGCTGGCAACACTCGTGTTCCCAATGATTCAAAAGAAATGCCTCAGGAGCCACACGCTGACAGAAAGCCAAGTGTATTCCAAAGATAATTGGGACTCATTCATAAAAAGTGTTTATTCTCTCAGAAAAGAAGTAAACCCTACACAGAAGCACAATTTGGAACTTGAAAGTCATTTTGCTGCTTGCCTGATTTAAATCAAAACCAGCACACGAAATGCCAGCTGTTGATACCTCATTATCCAACACCTTGGGTGGCATCAAAAACAGCAGAGACTTTCTACCTGAAGGTCACTGTTCAGTTTTGGCTGTTCAAACTCAACACAAAATAGTCTTGGGGGCCTGTTCTCTCCACATTTTTGGAGTGTTGACTTGTATATTCCTGGATGATGGTCCAAGAGCCACCCTGCTCTCCTCTCTCCGCTCCAGCTGAGTTCTCAGCTGGCTGTGGAGAGAACAGGAGGGCCCCTGGGTGAGTCGGCTTCAGTTCCTGTAGAAGGGAACTCCCACCTACCCTTTGGCTCTCCTGGGCCTCCTCAGGTAATGCTGGAAGAGCTCCTGGATCCAGAATGTTTGTGACCCTGCACCCCTGGCTGGGCCTGCTGGGCTCTTCTCTGACAGGCTTCTAACCCATGGCTCTCGTGTTCCAGTCCTGCTCCAGCCTTGTTCTGACTCCTGACACCTGCCAGTGTCCCCAAGACTGGCTTCAAGTTGCTGGGCCCTGGCTTTTGCTTCTGATTAAGATTCATGCTGGCTATACTTCTCTTTATGTCCCTCTACTTCAAAAATGCTAATGCATGGCTGGGGCTGTAGCTCAGTGGTAGAACACTTGCCTCACATGTGTGAGGCACTGGGTTCGATCCTTGGCACCACATAAAAATAAAGATATTTTTTTTAAAATGTTAATGCATTTTACAAGAAGTTTCCTGAAGGTTTCAGATGGCCTCACCAATTGTCAAGCCATCTGAATGTTTGCTGAAGTGTATTTCTGGTTGTGGAGGATAGTAACGTCCTCTAGGTCCTTCCTGGACTCTGGAAACAGAGTGAGTGGCTCTGCCTGAGCCCGGGAGATCCCTCCAAACCCTATACTGACCCACAGCCATGGATGGTGCAGGAGGAAAGGAATCCACAGGCACTGAGTCTGGCGGTCGTCCATAGGTCATTTCATACAGTAAGTGGCCAAAGCAGTGGACGTCCACACTTTCCAACGTCTGTGGAAGAAAGAGAGCAGTGCCACATTCATCCTCCATCTAGACCCCCTGTTCCTGCCCAAAGCTTTCACTGAGAAACCAGGCCCAGGGGCAGCCCTACTCCCAATTGGCAGTAAAAATGCAATTCCAAAGCCTTTCATGAAAGCTCACAAGGTATCATTCTGACCAAACGTCATGGTCCTACCTCTGTGATTTTCCAATTAATGATTTCACCCCCTTCCTTGCCCTATCCAGCAACGCTCCCTAGGAGAAACAGGGCCAATGAGTAAGGCCCACCTCAGCTCTGCCTTTCCCTGCTTAGCACTATTTCCTACATGGGAAGATCAGGGGTCCTGCTACTGCTTCATTGCTTTAGTGACTTACATTGATTTTCCTGAACTGTGTGAAGTAGGACCGGTAGAAGGAAGGAAGGCCCAGTAAGGAATTCTCGAGGTCTAGCAGCCGGCAAGTGTCCCCATCTAACATCACGTTGGAGGCATGAAGGTGCCCATAAGGGAATCCTTTGTCATGTAGAAACTTTAATACCTATTAAAAAATATGCATAGGTTACATTTTCCTCCCAACTCACTTGGATATAAGAGAGGTTATACTGTGTGTGTGTGTATGTGTGTGTGTGTGTGTGTTTTATTTTTGGCTGGGGGTATAGCTTAGTGGTAGAGCACATGTTTAATATGTACAAGGTCCTAGGTTCAATCCCCAGCACTGAAAAAAACAAACAAAAAATCAAAAACAACCTGGTTTTTCTTTTAAAGTCAATATGTTTTGAAACAATATCAAACAGGTCACTGGGGCGATTCCTAAAGAAAAATGTGACCTCTGTCCGTTCCTTTGGAGTCATGCTGAATGCTCTCAGGCTGTGAGTCTGAGAGGCAACATCAAGTTCCCTTTTCCAAAGAATAGAGAAGGGTTGGGCATGGTGGCACACTACTGTAATCCCAGCAGCTTGGGAGGCTGAGGCAGGAGAATCTCGAGTTCAAAGCCAGCCTCAGAAACTTAGTGACACCCTAAGCAACTCAGTGAGACCCTGTCCCAAAATAAAATGTAAAAAAGGCTGGGGATGTGGCTCAGTGGTTAAATGCCCCTGGGTTCAATCCCGGTACCAAAAATAAACAAAAAAGAATAGAGAAGAGTTTTGAGCAAATAGCTTTGAAGCCAAGAGACTTTGATTTAAGTGGTTTCTGATCCCAACAGTCCAGCTCTCTCCAGGGCAGTCCCGATTCCTTCTGCATTAATGAATGAAGCTGTTTTCTCAGCACTTCTGACAGGTACTTCAGAAAAGGGACTGACTTGCAAACGTCTTTAGTCCAATCTCTTCTCAGGACACATGTGACTGTTTATTAACAGAAACATACAACAGGCTCCCATAAAAAGAAGCAAACTTTTCAGCTGCCATTTAAAAAAAGTGGCTTGCCCCTAGAATAGAGATGCCACAATACAGCCCTGCAAAGACCTGGCGAGTCACAGCGACAGCGGTTAAAGGGGGCTGCCCAGGTCAGTCTACTGAGGACTGAAAGAAAATATCACAACTTCCCCACTGTTGACTTTATTTATTTATTTATTTATTTTCAGTTGTAGATGGACACAATACCTTTATTTATTTTTTTAATGTGGTGCTGAGGTTTGAACCCAGTGCCTCATACATGCCAGGCAAGCACTTACCACTGAACCACAACCCCAGCCCCCTACTGTTGACTTTTAAACTCTTCACCTTTTTTAACTTACAGTGTGTAAAATATATTATGAGTAGTACATGTATGTAATATATATAGTTAAATATACACAATGGAGGTTTATGCTCAAGTCTTTTTTACTGATAGGGCTGCACAGGTCAGGAAGTCTAGAATAGAGAAGGGTTGGGCATGGTGGCACACTACTGTAATCCCAGCACACTACTGTAATCTATTCTATTCTTCTCTATTCCATCTAGAGGATGATATGGGAAAAGGCTTTCCTTTCCTTTCTTCTTTCTTTCTTTCTTTTTTCTTTTTGGTGCTAGGGATTGAACCTCAGTCTTGTGATGCTAAGTACACACTTTACCACTGAGCTATATACCTCCAGCCCAAATGGGAAAGGCTTTCAATACTGATTATACTTCTGTAAGGGAGCCACATGGGTATATATCCCATATAACAAAACAAAAGTCTTGGCACAGAGATGAAGGTCAACCAAACACAAAACCAGGCATCCTCATACCAAAGTTCTTAAAAGTCAGACACCAAAGTTATTAATAGCTAACACTTTTAGAATTTTATAAATGTAAATTACGGCCACCTTCATCACAAATATTTGCTTTTGGGGGTAAAATATAGCAATGCCATTAGTTTATAAATATTCAGACAATGTCAGCAGTTTTGGATATTGCCTGAAAACTTTTCCATAAGAAGAATATAATTGTGAACAAAACTCCAGCACCACTTAAACAAAAACTGAATACCTCTTACCTCTAAAATCTGCCGTCCATATGTTTTTATTTGCTGGAGTTCAAGGCCCTGAATCTTCTTAGGGTTGCAATATTTTTTTAAGAATGGGTCCTTTGGTTTTGCCTTTTGAAAAGAACAAAGTGCACATTAGAAAGTGTCAGAGGAGCCTATATCTGCACCTGAGCTTCCTGAACACGGAATAGCCTACAGACACTGGAGGTTCCAGAGACGGCCAGCCCACAGGATGTGGGTTTAAAAATACAAGAGTCTGTGAAGTGGATAGAAAGAGAATGACCTGGGTTCTGTCCCTTCTCTTTCCCAGGGATGATGTGCCTAGTCAAGGCCTTGGTAGTCCCCTGAACCCTGCATACTGTCAGGACTCTTCAGAACTGCTTGGTTACGTTCTAGACACTTTAAAATTGACCCAAGCCTACAATGAAATGGATACAATCATTAAATGTCCTATCTTTCCTCATGTGTGAAAAGAAATGCTCTTGGGGCTGGGGCTGGGGTTCTGTAGTAGAACACTTGCCCTGCACATGTGAGGCACTGGGTTCAATCCCCAGCACCACATAAAATAAATAAATTAGTAAAACAAAGGTATTGTGTCCATGTTCAACTAAAATAAAAAAGAAAAGAAAAAAAAAAAAAGAAATACTCTTTAACCACACTGTGTAGTCTTTCCAAATAAAAGGAAAACTAAAATAAAATCCTCAAGGACTAGCTTCTGGAACCTTAGGTATCGAATATTAATAATGAGATCTAAAGGAACTCAAAAGAACTTTGTAACCATGATCATGTACATTTACCTTGTAAATCAGATCCTTCAAAGTTCCTTTTTCATTAAATGTCCTGATTAGCAATGCAGAGGATTCATTAGCAGTGGCAAAGGTAACCCGATAGATGTAAGGGTGCTGCCAAAACAAAAAAGAAATTCATGTTGATTGGCATGAGAATCAGGGTCCAGGGCCTGCTTATGCAGAGTCAAGAGCCACCTTGGTAGTTTGGTTGCATATAAATGTGAGGATATTCCTGAACGGTGGTAGTTTCAAGTTATTTAGATGATCAACTAGTTCCTGTTCCTTCCAATGGGGGAAGGGAAAGAGATGTTATTGACAAGAGGAAAGTGGATAATGAACATGGTGAACTCCACCTTGAAGGTATCTGCACTCTCTTAGTTCAGGCAAAAGCCTGGTGGAAGACAGGAAATGTGAGTTTGGGGAATATGGTTTTGATATTCTGCCTCTATAAATGGACAAAGAATACAGCCAAATCTCAGCACAACCAAGTGGGACCAGGATCAATGTGCCTCTGCTCGCAGGTTGGCCTGGTATTCCACGCTGCTGTTAGGGTGCCGAGCCAGGGAGCACGGCAGCCAGGAAATAAGCAAAAGCAGTATAGTTTGGCATCTTTGTTCCCTTCCAAAGCTGCTGGCATGGGTCACCCTGCTGTTCCATAGACATTTGCAATATGATGATTCACAGTGTCCTCCTCAGATGGGGACACTGACGTCAACCAAGTAGGGTGGGGAAAGGACAAATTATTTAATGACTGAGAAGAAAGTCCTCAAATAACCTCAAATTTTGGTTGCATGAACAAACTGGCTCCAGATTGGCATGACAATGCCCAACAGCTCACAGGAATTCCATGAAAATTTAAGACAGCAGAAGCTGAGCTGCCCAGGGCTAGACGGTGGAGAGGCTGGGGGAGGGTGGAAGGTTATGCCCAGAAAAATACAGTAATCAATCCTGAAAGTTTCTCCTGATCATCACATCAGCATGGTGGCTGCTGACTTTTTAACAGCTTTATTGATACATAATTCACATGTCATTACATTCACCCTAACCATTCAATGGTTTTCAATATATTCAATGGTAAGATATCACAATCTAATTATAGAACATATCCATCACCCCAAAAAGAAATTCAATGAAATAGACAAAGGGGAATGGGGGGAGAGTGAGGGGGCGGGAATGGGAAAGATATAGAATGAATTAGACATAACTCTTCTATGTTCATATGTGAATACATGATCAGTGCAATTTCACACCATGTACAACCTCAAGAATGGGATCCTAATTAGAATATTAGACTCCATGCATGTATGATATGTCAAAATACACTCTACTGTCATGTATAGCTAAAAAGAATTTAGCCAGCGCATGGTGTATGCCTGTAATCCCAGCGGCTCAGGAGGCTGAGACAGGAGGATCAAAGCCAGCCTCAGCAATGGTGAGTCCCTAAGTAACTCAGTGAGACTCTGTCTCTAAATAAAACACAAAATAGGGCTGGGGAAGTGGCTCAATGGCCCAAGGCCCCTGAATTCAATCCATGGTACAAAAATAAAAAATTAAAAAAAAAGAAGTTATAATAACTTGTTTCTGAATAAAAATAAAAGTTATTACTAATATTAAAAAAAATTCAATGAGAAAGGCTGGGGATATAGCTCAGCTGGTAAGACTGTTTGCCTCACATGTACAAGGCCCTAGGTTCAATCCCCAGCACCACCAAAAAAAAATTAAAAAAAAATTCAATGAGTAAAATAAAAACCCTCGAGTCCACACTGATATGACTAAAAGGGCTGGAATATAGCTCAGTGGTAGGATGCTTGCTTAGCATGCATGAGGCCCTGGGTTTGATCCCCAGCACGGAAAGATTAAAAAAAAAAAAAGGAAAGCTCTTTCTTATGATCTAATAAATACAAAAGGAATGATGAATTAGAAATCACACTGAAAGCTAAAACTAGTAGATTTGATAAAGAACAGGATATTTCATGTAGTCTCAAACTATCTCCCAAAACATTATTTATTAATTCTAGGTATTTATCTTAAGAAAACAGTTAAGGATGGGCACAAATGTTTAGCTAAAATTGCTCATTGTGACTTCTTTTCTGTTTTTCTTAATCTAATAAGAGAAAAAAAAATTAAATACCTAAATGCCTGATTAGTTGAGTAAACTAGCCAATTAAAATTCTATGCTACCATTAATAATAATGTTGCATTGTATTTATTTATATGATCATGTTTACATGACTAAGGGAAGTTTTCAAACAGCATGTAGATGGTAAAGTGGTGCATGCCTGTAATTCTAGTGACGCAGGAGGCTGAGGCAGGAGGATCTCAAGTTTAAGACCATCCTGGGCAACTTAATGAGACCCTGATTCATAATAAAAAATAAAAAGGGCTGGGGATGTTGCCCAGTGGTATAGCACTCCTGGGTTCAATCCCCAGTACCAAAAACAAAACAAAACAAAAAAAGCAGTATGTATAAAATTTCAAAAAGTCAAATAAAGTTCTAAAACTGTAACAACTCAACATTTTGGTTCCTCCTTCTGGTTAGTTGGGATTACAGGTGAGTTTTATTTTCTTATTTTTGCTCATCTGGGTCTTATGGCTTCTCTACAATTAACATGTACCTCTTATATATGCTACTTTAAAAACAGAAAAAGTACAGCCCATTAAAATAAATTTAAAACTGAACGCAGACAGCATACCGTACAACCTGCCAAACTCAAGGCCACACCATTTTTCTTGGTCACACATGATACCTTGTAAAAAGCCTGGCCTTTTATAGCATGACAAGCCACTCTGTCTTTAAAAACGAATGTGTTAACTCAACTGGACAAGTCAGCATAATTTTGCTCAGCCATTAAGGAACTCCTACAACCTCATGCAGACAACAGATAAAGAACATCAACATTTACTCAAATTTCTGGCCAGATTAGTCTTTACTGAAGATATTCTCCACCTAGCTTGAAATATATCATTGTGATCCTTTCCAACAAAGGCCTTATATTAAACCTGTGCATTGCATAAGTAGTGCTAATGAAGGTCAACTAGTAAGCCTGTGAGAGTAGTAACAGACAACAAAATGGATATTCTGCCTTCTCTTTACCCAGCTTATTGAAATTCTGTCTTCTGGACTAGAAAGAGATCTTCCAATTCCACTGATACATACACCCTCACCAAGAAAAAGAGACTCAGAAGAGTAGTTGCTTTCCTAATCTAGTATCTGTTTAAAATACAAGAGCTAACCTGAGCATGGTGGCACACACCTGTAACCTCAGCCACTCGGGAGGCTGAGCCAGGAGGATTGCAAGTGTGAGGCCAGCCTCAGCAACTTAGCAAGGCCATATCTCAAAATAAAGTGAAAAGGACTCAGGATGTAACCCAGTGATAAAATGCTCACTTCACATGTGTGGAGCCTAGATCTAATTCCCAGCACTACAAAACCCAAAAAACTAATATAATTTAAGGTTATATTTAAATTATCACATTTCATGGGTTGTGCAGATGTCATGAGTGTCATTTCAAATGGTCTGTGATCCTTGGGAGGAGCCCTGCACAGTTTCTGTCAGGTCTGAAATCCACCTCTCTCTCCATTCTCGAGCATTTCTGCTCTTCTCCTCATGTTCACACTCAACACTATGAATCTGGGATCAGCCCTAAGAATAACAGAAGGACATGTACTCACCAAACAGGAAGGCAGGAGTTTGATTAGACATTGAAAATCTTTATCTGACAAGTACTTGTCTGGGCCAAGGTCAGCCTGAAAACATGGGAGGAAATATCAGTGTACAGTCTTGGTCATCAAAAGAAAAATTCCTTAAAAGTCTTTCCCTTTCATTTTATTTGTCCAAATAAATGGTAAATCAAAGATGACAATCACGCTAACTCTTGTTGCCTCAAGGTCTTTCTGTCAAGGCAGTGTATAAACATACAAAAACCAGGATTTAACTGTGATCACATCTAATTCTACTGATCAAATGTATCACTTGAATGCCCAAAGTGAAAGACTCTAAGTAACCAGGTGTCTGGAGGCTGAGGAAGGAGGACAGCAAGTTCAAGGACAGCCTCAACAACTTAGCAAGACCATCTCAAAAAATTTTAAAAAATTTTTAAAAAGAAAAGCAAGCACTGGGGATGTAGCTCACTGGTAAAGTGCCCTGGGTTCTGGATTCAATGCCCCATATTAAAAAAAAAAAAAAAAGATAAAGTACTAAAACTGTTAAGATTATTTTAAGGTGTAGATATTTCTTTCCAAATGTTTACTAGGTGACTAAATATAATTACACCTATATAACCAAACACACTGCAAAGAGAACTTAAAATGACTCTCCTTTGATATGGGACTGCAGAAGCCCTGACATCAACATTAATAGTGCAGTACGATTTTGTAATTCTCTTGTCAAATCTGCTTTCAGAAATCTATCTAAATTTCCTGAAATAAAATTGATGCAATAAAAACACTAAAAAGGAAAAAAATATGTGAAGCAAAAAAATTAGCTTACCCAGCTTAAGACTAGCCGTTCCTTTGGTTGATTTTTAATCTTCATCAAAAAATATTTCTTCCTTATCCTCCAGCCTGTCATCAAAGCAGAAATGTGTTTAGAGCTGCATCATTTTTACAATTGCTCTAAGCTTCACTGACTAAAAGTAATTGATCAAAATTAAGCTTGGCAAAATTACCCATAGTAAGCACCAGTAAAAAAGCCACTTGATTATGTTCACATGGTAAAGGGTATACCAGAGAGCAAGCAAGCAAGGTGGAGGGGAGGAAAAAGGGAGGGAAGGAAGGAAGAAAGGAAGGAAGACAACAGGGTGGCTGGGAGGCTGAGGCAGGAGGATGGCGTTCAAAGCCAGCCTCAGCAACTTAGGGAGGCCCTTAGCAACCCAGGGAGACCTCATTTATAAATAAAATATAAAAAAGGGCTGGGGATGTGGCTCAGTGGTTAAGCACACCTGAGTTCAATCCCCAGTACCAAAAAAAAAAAAAAAAGAAGAAGAAGGAGGAGGAGGAGGAGGAGGAGGAGGAGGAGGAGGAGGAGGAGGAGGAAAGAAAAAAGAAATTATTCATGGAAGTAGTAAGAGAATGGATTAAGTGAAAAAGACAGATGAAAACTGGATGGTAGCTGGGGATATAGCTCAGGTGGTAGAGTGATTGCCTCGAATGCACAAGGCCCTGGGTTCAAACCCCAGCACCAAACCAAACAAAACAAAAAACCTGAATGGCGGGGGCTAAGGTTGTAGCTCATGAGGAGACTGGTTACCTAGAGCATGTGAGGCACTGGGTTTGATCCTCCACACCACATAAAAATAAATAAATAAAATAAAGGTATTGCATCTATCTACAACTAAAGTTTTTTTTTTTTTTAATTAAAATAAAGAAAAAGAGTGATGGGTGCAAAAAGTTACTACCATCCAAATCCTAAGATGCGTTAAGTAGTAAAAGTTAAAGACCGCATCCTCAAGCATTAGGAATGCAAAAAGAAAAAGGAGTCCCAGAACCTAAGAAGAGTCCTAGGACATCTGGGGATATCTGACAGAAAGAGGACCAAGAATGCAGGTCTGGGACCTGTCTCCTTAATGGATCGAGCTGCCGATTTCTCACCTATGTCTTTCAGTGGCTCCACCACCTCCCACTTTGGCTCTGATCGGAAGAACATGGAGACCTGTTGTAAGGCAATCTCTGCAAAGACATGTGGAAACTCATTAGTCAAACACATTAGGAAAAGGGCCATATGCTCCAGATATTATTCTCACAAATGAAAAAATTACAAAAAGAACAGGAAGAAGAAGGAGAGGAGGAGGAGGAAGAAGAGGACAACCAAAAGCAATGTGGGATTTTAGACTGGACCCTAAAACAGCCAAAGCACATTAGTGGAAATACTGGTGAAATCTGTGTAACACATGTGTTTAATAGCAATAAGAGAGCTGGGCTCAGTGGAGTATGCCTGTAATTCCAGCGGCTCGGGAGGCTAAGGCAAGAGGATGACAAGTTTGAAGCCAGCCTCAGCAACTTATTGAGGCCCTGAGCAACTCAGTGAGACCCTGTTCCAAATAAAAAATAAGTAAAAAAGGGCTGGGAATGTGGCTCAGTGGTTAAGTGCCCCCGAGTTAAATCCTCAGTTAAAAAAAAAAAAAAAGTAATATGATAATATTAATATATTTTGACAAGTGTGTCATCAGATATTAACACTGAAGGACAGGAATATACGGAAACTCTTTGTAATACCATTGCAACATCTCTGTAAATCTAAACTCATTCCCAAATTAAAAGTTTATCAAGCAGCAAAAACAAAATGTAATTATTAATGATATAAAAAAATAAATGCGTATATATTTTTTAACTGGAAAATCTAAAACATGTGAACTAGCTGACCTAAACCCTGAATTTGATATATGCCCCAGACCACAACCAAAGCACAAGACTCAAAACACATTCTAAGGTCAGACTGGAACAGCACTGAATGTTGTTCCAAGTGATATTTATCCCATCTTCATTCCTCATGGAATTATAGCTTTCACCAACAAAGAAGTGATTAGCCTTAAATAAATACTGGAAATAAAAGCCAGTGTTTTAGAAAACATCTATGTTCAGTAACAACATGGTTCTATTGTGGGAAGTCACTGAGTGCCTGTTTACGGGAAAATTAAAAAAAAAAAAAATCCATCCTTTCTCCCCTCCTCTGGTGTTCACTTATCATGACAATGTTTTCCCCCTTGAAGAAGACAATGAGAACAGGAAGTTCTTTAAAGTCCACTGTATTAAGAAACCATCAGAATAACTGCTTTTTACATTTCCTGCAAAAAAGCAACATCTGTAAGTTGCCATTTCCTCTCAATGCAGGGAGTAAATGAAAGTAGTTCAGATCCCTGAAAGCTAACAGCCATCATCTCAATGCACCGTGGAATTCCACCTCTGCTGAGCACTAACTGCTGTCCAAGGAGACTGGTGAGGCCTGAGGGATTCGCCAGAAATACTCTCCGTATGTCAAAATGACCCCATCTCCAATTATGCAGAGAGCTTGACAAACAGCATTCTACTGATATGTTTTACTGTACATTATGAGTTAAGAGAGACAGGGAAGAAAACAATTTCCTAGCTATTTGTTTATTAACTCAATATGTAAAGTGTCAATGACATCCACTCAGAAGAAAACACGGGGTGCCCAAATCAAAATTGGCTCGATTTACATTTGTTGTAACTACCCCAATGCACAATGAACCGTTTACAAGCAGAAGCATATAAATTTTTATTATCAACTCTGGGAACCTTGCACCTTTTCTATAATTAATGTTGCTATAAAGCGTTTTTAGTATTTCCAAAATAACTTGCAAATAAGCAAGCATAAAAGGAAATTAAGTGAAAATTATTCATATCAACTTTGAGAAGGATCATGAGAAATAATTTTCCAACACAGTACCATGTCATCCCAAAGACTGGAAAGGACAGTTGTGCAAAGCTAACAGTGACTCATAACTCCCTATAACATCATTAGTCAACAATATTTATTTATGCTACTGCATACCATATGTTGTTTAAGGAGTGGGGACATAGGCGGGAACAAATAGAACATGCTGGATTTGTTAATGATAAATTGAGGACTAGGGAACAGATTCTCTTTTTACCTTAGGAGCAGAAAGGACACTTTCCTCTCACTGAACTGTGATGTATTGTCCAATAAACCCCATGGCTACCATGCTCCCAATCTTAACACCTTCTCTCCCCAGACTCAGGCAACATGTTTCAATCCTAAATAGCACTCCTCTGTTTAGAAGCCTTTACTGGCCCCCACTTCCTTACCAAATCTAGCCCAAGCTGCTAAACATCGTGTTTAGCCTACCTCTGGCTTACCTCATCTTTCTGGTCTTTTCCCCCACTATGTTCGAGGTCTCCTACTCTGCACCCCGAGGTCTGCCTCCTGTGGCCACTAAAGGCTGGCCTTCCCATGGTGCCTCCCCATTTTTTACCTGGCCCATCTATTCCTCAAGGCTCAGCTCAAATTTGCTGTCCCTAGCCAGGACTTGTCTGCACGCTCCCAGTGCGCTCTCTGTCCCTTTCTTATGGAATTATCCATAGTCTGTCCTATATTAGGGTGACTCTCTTCCACCAGACTGTAAACTGGCTGGAAGGGAACTCTTAATCTGGGTAAAATCCAGAGCCATTTACTACTTCTCTTCCCCTTGGGGGGCTCTGCCTGAAACAGCGGCCACTGCCTCTCAGCCTGGCTCACTTCCATTAGCCCTCAGGTCTCACTGCAGGTAACAGCTGCTCTGGAAAGCCCCCTTCCATCACCAGGTCTGGACTATCTGCTCTTCCCAACCTTCACCCCATCCTTCCCTCAAGGTGCTGCCCAGTGTTCACCTGCCAAGATCTTCACCTGTCAATCTCCCTATGTAAGTGCCTTGGGTTTATGGATGAGTATAGGTGGAGGGACTACTCCTTTCTCCTTGCTGAATGCTTAGCACCTGGCATATAATAGGTGCTCAGTAAGTAGTTGATGACATACAAATAATGGTTCATTATATGGTTGATAGATGTGAACCATGGAAAGGAAGGCATCTGTCCTCTATTTCCTTAGTACTGACATGTGGGAAGCCACATGCTCACTGAGTGCTGATGAACAAGCCCAATATAGGAAATGCAGAGCCAGACCTCTGAGTCTATCCTGGGCTTCCCATGAAGCTCAGATGTACCAGGTGCCCCCACTGTGTGCAGTCTTTGAACTCTAGATCCAGCCCTGTGGGATGACAGCAGGGAACAAACACGAGCTCTTCTAGCCCTGCTACTGAGCTTCAAATCTCCAGTCTACCAGGCCGGCAGTGTCATGTCTCAGAGAAGCTTGTGGCCTCTCCCAGACACTCTGCTTTTGTCCTGAACATCATAGCCCAGCCCCAGCCCCCAGTCCCCACTCCTTGTACCCTCCTATTCAAGGGATTCCTGGGGTCTTAGGACTGGACGGACTTCAGCGCTGCCTGCCCTCCTCAGGCCTGTAGTTTTGCAGGTCAGGATCCAGAGCACAGAGAGGGGAAATGCTGCCCGCAACAAAAGTGGCACCGGGGCCCAGGTCTCCTGATTTCTGGTTCAAGTGACTCTTATGTGGACATTAAAGTCTTCTCTGGGGGCTGAGGATGTAGCTCGGGGGTAGGGCACTTGCCTAGCATGCACAAGGCCATGAGCTCAATCCCCAGCACCATTAAAAAAAGCAACAGCATTTCTTATTGTGAGGAGATGAGCAGGTTTGAGATGGGAAGATGGCTACAGCTCAGAGGCTTCTAAATGACAGAAGGGGCTTGTCAACAAGATGGATACAAGCGTGTGTGTGTGCGCGCGCGCGTGTGTGTGTGTGTGTGTGTGTGTGTTCTCAACACAAACTCCTCAGGTCTAGGAGACACCTCTCTTGTACAACAGCTGGCCCAAGCACCTGACAACCCTCCCACGGAGTATTAAGGGCCTACAGTTCCCTTCTGTGGATGTGGTCATTTGGAAAAAGCCAGAAAAGAAAGAAAGTCCCACAATCCCAGGCTGGGGACTCCAGGAGGCCATGAAGCAGCTGCTGGTGTCCTGAGAGCTCCTGAGGAGCCATCCTGGGGAGCTGGGTGGGCAGCACAGCCTCCTCTAATAAGCACTCTCACCCCAGGCAGAGCACTGAACAGGAAGAACGGCCGCGTGGGTCTTTCCACCACTTGAACACAAAACTCAAATCCTGCTGCAGTGAAGTTGGGTGGGGACCACGGACCATTAGAAAACTGAGGAGAGACAGGGCCATTATCCACACTCAGGGGGAGAAGTGGCCCTGAATAGAGAAGTGCCACTGTTGGGTGGTGCTCTGCGCCCTCTGGGAACCACGTCAGACGGTGTATTTCAGGAATGGCTCCGTGGAGCTGGTGTGGGCTTCCTTTTCCCGGTGCCGTTGGTGAGTCAGCCTAGAGCCAAGACAAGTTCTGACATTTCATTCAAAGGCGGAAATTAATCACCATCTTTCTGAAAACAGCACCCCTCACCTATTGCTTCATTATAGGACTCTGCCCTCTATGAAGCAGCTGGACTCTTGAGCTTTTGGATTCTGGTGGGAGTTTCTGGTGGCCTTTTACACCCCTGCCCACATCTGCTTTGAACCCTGACCACCTACCCTGCTGTGGTGTTGGGAAAGATGAAGAACAGTAACAGCATGTGGGGGAGGTTCAGTACAAGGAGAAACCGAGATCAAACAACCTTCCAGAAGCTAAATAGAATTTTAACTTGAAAAAATTCAGATCAGACTTAGTCACACAAATGTACAAGACTGGATCAGGCTGTCCCTCTCTGGTGACCTTAGTTTCCTCATCTATAAATAAAAAGATTAGTCTTGGTGCAACAGCTCTGGGATTCCTGCTGGCACAGCCCCACTGTGACTCAATGCCCCTATAGAACGAGCCCCCTGAGAGCAGAGAGTGCGCCTGCCTCACACCTGCCTCCCCGACACTCGGCTGATACCTGTGGGCTGTGTGGGCTGAATGGCTTCTTTACATGTGCGCTACACCTTGATGCCTGCCTGCAGGACAAGAGCCACAGACACTCAGGAAGTGATGCAGACAAACACACATAGGACAGAGTTGGGGCTGATTTGATGAGCCAATCTAGATGACCGGCTGACCATGGCTGGAACTATCGAGGTGCAGTGTGGAGAAATGAAAGCTGCAAATGATGCTACTCTGACAAAACTGGAGCTGTCTTGAGAGCCCCAGTCCTGCTTGTGATGTCTTTTCTCCTCTGTATGCCAAAAAACAGCAGGGAGAAGAAGGGAATCCTTATAACAACCCAACGCACGATTTTGTAAGTTATAGTAAATGTGAGTTTGAAATAAACTTTCCTTCTCTTGGTTATTCTGAAAAGGCATTTTCCTTAGCCGTGTATAGCACTTCAACTGGAAGATGGCAAGCCTTTTCTAGAGCTAGATGTCTCCCACTTTAATGTGCGCGAGGTGTACCCGGGGACCTGTTCAAGGCAGATCCTGAATCAGCAGGTCTGGGATGGGGCCTGAATTCTGCACTTTTGACAAGCCTGCGTGGTGCTGATGCAGTCAGGGTGGCCAGAGAACCATACTTTGAGTAGCCAGACTCAAGGGCTGTGGTTTTCCAACCAGGCTGGGTACTGGAATCACTCAGACAGCTCTATAAACCACGAGCCCCACCCGCAGGGACTGTGATTTTATTGGCAAGCATGCGGCCTGGGCACTGGAACTTTTTAAAGCCCCCAAGTGATTCCACTACACAGAAGAGTTTGGTGCCCAAGAAATAAGCCTCAATTCCCCCTCTCTGAAATAGGAATAAAAAGTGCCTCCCTCTAATTATTTTTAAAGTAATGTTTTGAAGACCCAATAATCTGACAAAAATCTATTCTTTTAGCAAGGAAATTAACAATACCCAGAGTTCCACACAGAAAGCTTCTAAGCAGGGCTCGGCTTTAATCAATCAGTTGAATTTGGCTCATGGGTTCAGGTCTGCAATGGTTTCTACTGGTCCTTTAAGTCCACACTAGAATGTACTTAATATCTTGTTCCTCCTTCCACTGGCATCAGGCTTGGGCTATTGATACTGCTTTGTGTGTAATCAGTATTGGAAGAGAAGCCATTCAACTCAGACCCCTGGTAACATCCTGATTCAGGTACCCTCTATGCTTTGCACTGGAGGGGCTCAGGAGCATGGAAAAAAATAAAGGACCCTTCTGAATCATTGCTGTGTTTAACATAAATCCCTGGAAAATACAGATACACAATGTATTGTAAATATAAAAACAGAGCCAAACTGCACGTGGTGGCATATACCTGGGATCCCAGTGGCTCAGGAGGCTGAGGCAGGAGGATCAGGAGTTCAAAGTAAACCTCAGCAATTTGGTGAGGCCATAAGAAACTCAGTGAGACCCTATGTCTAAATAAAATACAAAACAGGACTAGGTATATGGCTCAGTGACTAAGCATCCCTGGGATCAACCCCCAGTACCTGAAAAAAAAAAAAAAAAAAACAGAGCCAAATACCAAAAGAAATTGAAATTACTGTATTACTGTGTACATCACTGTGGATTATATACTCTCTGTTCTGTCAGAAAAGATAAGAAAGATTGTGAGTATTAGACATGACAATTTCTCTTCCCTATTTTTCTATGCAAACATTTTACAAGTAAATAAAGTTCTTATAAATCTAAATTATAATCAAGTAAGTCTTTGTAAATAAATAATACCTTATTACAAATGTGCACATTTCCCTGTTTAGAAGTAGAGCTTCCCCCATGTGCTAAGTATAGTGCCCAGAGTGACCACAGCGGACAGATCCCTTGGCTTACCAGTGTAGTTTGCAGAATAGTTGTTTGGATCTAGAAACTTCTTAACCAGTTCACAATTAGACAAAATATGATTTGTGGTGATAACATTGAGATAGTTCTGAAGACCTTTCTGCCTCTCAGCTATGAATTCACGATCCATGTTGCCAATCAATTTTTTGGGAGGAAGAGGTAGACTTAGTCCTGCAATCTTAAAAAAGAAAATAAAAAGGTATTATACTTATGTCATCCACTAGTAAGATTCAATATCAGAATCCTAAGCCATCATAGTTCATTAAATTTCAGATAACATAGATTTTAAGATGCATCCTAATTTTAGTGGTATTATAAAAATGGGGAAAAAAACTATGTATCTTGGAACTGATAAAATTCTGTATGAAGTATAGTAACTTTAAAATTTTAAAAGGGCTGGGGATGAAGCTCAATGGTAGAGTATTTGCCTAACATGCGTGAGGCCCTAGGTTCAATTACACCACAATTAAGTAATTAATTAATAAGTTAATAAATTAACTAATTAAAAAATTTAACCAAAGCTATACATAAACATAATGCAAAGAACCAATAATTTTTTTAAAATTATTACTGGCAGTTCTGTGGTACTTTGTCTCCCACTCTCTCTGCCACCAGGTGAAATCCCTTCTCCACTACCCTGAAACAGCCACATTCAATTCTTTCTGCGAATCTTTTGGCAGTGGGGAATGCTCATATTGCTCGGTCTTCTATGTCTTGACTTCTCATTTTTGGGAAATTTCTGTACTTTCCCATTATGGAAAAATTAAATTTGTTCTTTTTCATAATTCTTACCTTACTCCACACACATCCAATCCCCATCTGTACATATGTGGTTATAATTTTAGTGTATCATTATCATATTTATATTAGGTAAATTATATTCATAATAGTTATATTCATAACAATTGCTAAACCTTTTGGAGGTTCTGTGATGTAAACTAAGACCTTTTAAAATTATCTGCTTCCCATCTCAAAATTGTGCCTTCCCCATCTGCTTCATGAGTGAGCTCTCAGCTATTGGATTTTCGACCTAAAATATTTTGTTGTGGTTTTCTTCTCTGTTATTATATTTGTCCTTGAGATGGTATGTGCGTGTGTGTGTGTGTGTGTGTGCACATGTGTGTTTATAAAACCAATTGACTATTGTCTAGAGTGGTTTGGTGAGGAAAGAAAAGTAAATGCAGGTGCTCAACCTAATATCATTTTCCAGATCATTTAAAATGTTGAGTCTATTTTTCAAACTTAAAAAACAAAGTATCAAATTGGCATTTTAATTCGGGGAGCAAAGTCACTTTCAAAGAGTGGCGCATTCAACGTGAGTGCTTAGATCAGAGCCACGTGGTGTGCATTAATGATGGAGGGTCTGGAGGGCACCTTGAATTCAGAAAAGTAAGTCATCTGGACCACTCGTGTGGGCCAGCCTAACTGCAACTGTGCCACTCTACAGTTTTCAAATAATGATGCAGCCAGATGAAGAGCCTAAAGTTGATACTGGATGAGATGAAAAGGCTGGCTGATTGCCTATTTCTCCAACGTAATTATGAGAATACATCAGAGCAAAATTAGAACGAATTTTCTATCGTGGCACAATTTATTGCCAGAGAACAAACCTATCAGTTTTAGGTTGGTTTCCTCTTTCATACAATTAGCCTTTATTGAATGACAGCTTCTTTATTAGCTAAATAAAAATGCATCCTCATCCAGCTATCCCACATCCAAGGCTCATCACTTCATTTTATTTTCATCAGGGACATGAAGTATTAACCAAGGGTAATACATAACCCAAACGTAGCAGATGTTTCCTCTTATATAGCTATTCTATGAAATTGCAGGATATAATCTTATTTTGAGTGTGTGTGAGCATGTGTGTAAGCCCACAGATAAGTTTATATAGGCACAAAAATTGTCTGGCAGAATTCACACGGTGGCTTAACAATAGCTACCTTTTGGAGCAAGTTAATTATTTTTTTTCAGATAACTACATAAACACAGTTTTATTCATCTTTCAGAGATCATCTTTTAGCTAAGAAAATTATGCAAAACAATGAAAAATAACTATGATTTTTGCTTGAAAAAGTCTATCCTGTTTGCTCGCTAACACAGTTATTAGCTGCAGTACACAGAAGTCCCAGGACACACCACTAACACACAGGCCTTCTTTATGTGCTTGAGGAAGACATGGGAGTATTTGTGGACTTTCCCAATCTCTGTTAAGCTAGCTTTTGCAGTGAATGACTTGGAGAATACAGCACAAAAAGCTGCCGAACCTCTTTTTCTTCCAACTCTCTACTTATCTCTTCAAAATTCCCTTTGTGGCAACAAACGCTCCCAGGGGTCTGTCCCTGCTGAGAGTGGCCTTTCTCAGTGGAGAGAGCGCCATCCTCTCTGTCCATTCCTTCAGCTTAAGCTCTCTCCTTGAGCTTTTGTCTCCATCCTCTGACTTCTTTTTCTTATTTACCTTGTTTTCTAGGTTAAAATGAGCAATCTTATCACTTTTCTCTGTGATACACTTTAGCAGTGAATGACTCCTCCTGGCTGAGAGCTTCCCATCCTCAGTGTTAACTATGCCTCTTTCCCCGCTGCTGCTGCTCCTTGGCCTGGCTTCCTCCTCCATCACACAGTCAGACCCAGGAAGGCGCAAGAGGGCAGAAAGAGGTGGCTGCATCTGGGAGTGATGGTGCATGCCTGTAATCCCAGCTGCTCAGGAGGCTGAGGCAGGAGGATCACAAGTTCCATGTCAGCCTCAGCAACTTATTGAGACTCTAAGCAACTTGGCAAGACCCTGTTTCTTAAAAAAAAAAAAAAAAAAAAAAAAAAAAAATATATATATATATATATATATATATATATATATATATATGTATATATATAAAGGGCTAGGGATGTGGCTCAGTGGTTATGCATCTATGGGTCAATCCCTGGTTGGGGGGGGGAGTTGGGGGGGCGGGTGGCTGCCCATCCGGTCAGATTTCCTGTGACAGTCTTAATTTTTATTTCTTTACTATGATGCTTATAATGCTCATTCACTACTTTTTCCTCCCAATTAAATAACAAGAAAATACCTTTTGCTTCTCAAACTGATTATATGGGAAGCAAGGATTTTTTTTTTTTTTAATTACCATTAACTAGTATTAACCTACTGGCCTGCACCACCGCATACCAGCACCAACTGCATCCTACCACACCCAGAATGGATATATATCTAATGTCATCAGGTTCAAACACCAATATTTTCACCTACGGTGGGGATGTAAGAAGGCATTTGTTAGCTGTCTTGAATTGTTAGGTTTCCAAGCTTCAACCAGTCTATTTTTCTAAGCTTCATTTTACTCTAGGAAAATGTACTGATCTGCCTAAACCTCCCATGACTTTTTCCAAATCATCAGAGTTCTTTTGCCAACAGCTGCAATTACAGTGTCCCTACTATGTCAGATAGGCTGGAGGTAGTTTTTCTGCCCTATGTGAAGATCTCAGGTTAATATTCCTAGAAGTATAAAACTATGCAACATGTGTCATTTTAAAATGCCTTTTGCCCAGTAGGGTGTCATAGGCCTGTCATTCCTGCTATTTGGCAGAGGCAGGAGGATCACAAGTTGGAGGCCAGCCTCAGCAACTTAGCAAGTTTCTGTCTCAAAATGAAAACAAAAAGGGCTGGGGAGTAGTGCAGTGATGAAGTGCCCCTGGGTTCTATCTCCAGTACCAGAAAAAAGATAAAATACTGCCTTTTATAGAAGATTAACATTCAAGAGACATTTATTTTCTCTTACAGCTTTCTCTTAGACTTTCTAGAATGCTTCCCAATCACAGAATATAAAATCTAGAATGCCAATGACTAGAAGGGAGGGGAAATAACACTAGCACAGACAGTGATAAAGTCATGGAGCCCAGATTTCCTAGACACCTCACAGGGCCTCAGCACCTCTCTTTCACTACCTTCCCCTTTAACTAGCCCTCTGAATTGCCCTGAGTTCCTTTCAGAAAGAAAGGAGAACAGCAAAGCCCAGAGATAAGTCCCGAGTTCCATTCACAGTGACAGCCCGAGGTGGGGCCCGGAGCCCACAATCTGACCGATGCCTAGTGAGGCCTCTAAATGACACAACAAACTATACCACAGTGTCAAGAAAACTAGCTTGGATCTGGATGAAAACAAAACATCCAACATTAATCGTTCATCTCTCTCACTTCTATCATCAGTTCTTAATGACCTGCCGACTACCTTCAATCATCTAGTTAGTATTCTAGGAAGTTCTAAGCTCTCAGTGGACCCTTAATTTGTCCCAATTTCCTCCCAGTGCACAGTAAGTCTCTCCAAGGTCAATGATGGGCAGGAATATTCAAATCACAAAACACTGGTGTTATGTGAGACCTTGGAAATCACCAGGTTCAACCCTTTTCAGATGGAGAAAAAGAGGCTAAGAGGAGCTGGGCATGGTGGCCCATGCCTGTAATTCCAGTGACTCAGGAGGCTGGGACAGGAAGATAGCAAGTTCAAAGCCAGCCTCAGCAACTTAGTGAGGCACTTGCAACTCAGTGAGACCCTGTCTCTAAATAAAATATAAAAAAAAAGGGTTGGGGATGTGGCTCAGTGATTAAGCACCCCTGAGTTCAATTCCCAGTACCAAAATAAGACCAAAAAAAAAAAAAAAAGGAGCTAAGAGAAGAAATGACAGACAGAGGTCTTCTCAATGTTAGTAAGGGGCAGTCTGGGTTCCTCCTCAATTCTAAGGGACAAAGTTTGTGTTCCTTCCCTCTTTGCCGGTTCCCATCATCTCAACCACCTGCTCCTTTGTCTTTGTTTTATGCTATTTCCTTAGATGGTTGCTGATTTGATGTTTATTTGCATTTATTTAAGATAAAATGATTCATCTTCATTGTTACCACAAAATATGTTCACTTACAGAATTTTTGGAAAATGCAGACTTTTTCTATTTTTCTCCTTATTACAGCTCACAGGAGCTTATTTATAAGGAAAAGTATAAATAACATAACGCATAATCCCACCACTTGGGGGTCACCATTGGCATATTCCTTCCAATCTTCTTTTCTTGACTTTTCATGTAACCATATTGTGTGGCACGTATAATTCTACTTTGTTAGTTTCACCGAGGTATGTTCCTGTTGGATTCAGACACCACTCCACCAGATTATATTTCTCTTTTTTCAGCAGAAACTCATTTGTCTGTTGAATGAGTAATTGGACACTGAAAATCCTGGTCACAGTTTCATCGTGCGGTTCTGGTGTCTTTTTGGTCTGTTTTATGGAGTTTGTTTTGAAATTATTGTGTTGCCAAGAAGCTGTATGTTCTTTCTTCTGTTTGTTTACTTGGATCAAGAAAAACCTCCCACTGAAAGGCTGTCTGGCTGTGTTCTTCGCCACACAAGCCAACATCAATACATGTGGGTATTTGCATTTGAAATAAGATGCACATTGAAAGTGCCCATTTTAAAAGAAAAAATTACACTGAAACAAAAATAAAATTCTGCTCCATTAAAAAGGCCACAATTGAATATCATGGAGATTCAAACTTATATCCCCAAAGTAAGAGAAATAAGACCTAAAAATCCTCCCCACCACCCCTGTTCTCAGAGGCTAGGTGGAGTCAGTTTCAATTTTTGGAAATATTTCTCCATAATCTTTACTCAGCTGTGACAAAAAGACGCTGTATAAAGATCATTCAATACTGGGCAAAGATTCATTTGTGAATAAAGATGGAAGCACGTGGTAGGACCAGGGTTAACTCCCAAGATGCTCACATTACTGTATGGCTGCAGGGGGGGAACTTGATGGGAAAATCTGCCCCTGGAATCAACTGCACCTTGGTGGCTTATCTGCAAAGTCACCACAGGCCTAGCTTTTATCTAAGCACAAAGAATACGCTATTAAAATCCACAAATGAAACCAATTAAGCCCATCAATGAGGAGAATTCAATCTCTGCCAATATTCTATCAAGAGATTTAAATTAGCCATACTAAAATTAAAATTAAAAAAAAGACAGGGACTGGGGATATGGCTCTGCGATAGAAAGCTTGCCCAGTGTGCCCAAGCTGCTGGTTTGATCCCCAGCACCCCCAACCCCCGGAAAAAAGGACAACATGTGTCAAATGTATGACAAATATGGCAGTTGCTCACAGGTTTGCAGATAGCTGGGCCAATTCTACCAGAAGGAAAATAAGGCACTTCTGCTTTCGGCAGTAAGTGTTGTAAATAACGGTAAAGTTCGGGCTCTTAAAATGCTATTTTCTGAAGTCTAATCAATAAAAGGTGGCCTTTGGAAGGAGAGAAGCACCACGGTCCCTCCCTGCCAGCCAGCCAGCCATTCTCCTGACCTTTGAGAACGGCATCAGCGGTCACTCAGGAAACAGGCTGATGGCCAGCTCGCCCATGAACATAGCAGCCCTTTGCCTCCCAGCTGAGTTGGCCAGACCGTGCTCTCTGGTTCAAGATAGAGTGGCTTGTGTTACCACTCCAATCTGAGGAATGACACAGGCCCCGTGGTCTCCAGTAACCCACCATGCTTAAAGACCACCCTGCCCGGGATGACACAGCTAGTGCTTCTAATGGTGCTCAAGCCCCTGCAGGACCCTGCCTGCAACCACTACAGGCACTGGCTGTTTGCAGACCGAGACTTTGCAGCTTATCCTTTTTTCCATTATGGCCACCAGGTTAGAATATCCACGTCAGAGAGATTTAGAAATACATATTTAAGAGAAAAAAGTTAAACTGAAAAAGGCTGTCTCTGGTGTTAATCTGGGAGGCTAAGGTGTTGATCTGGGAGGCTAACTATACAGCCCAGTCCAGGGGAGACTTTGAGGGTCCCAGCTCAAATAACCAGTCCTGATCTGTGAAATGGGGATGCTACATCAGCACCTATGCTGTATTAAGGATATGGTCTGGCACAAAGAGACTCACTTTCGAGGGGACTATTAATTATAAATCACAAGTCCCTTCTCAAAAGTTTATTTTTAGAGCCACACGTCATCTCTTTAAAGTATGAATTGATTTCCTTTGTCAGGAAAATTTGTTAATTTCTTGTTCCTGATATTGCTGTTTGCTGTAGTTTGGATTGTGAATGTCCCCCAAAGGTCTATGTGTTAAAGGCTTGTCCCCAGGGTGGCACTGCTGAGAGGTGGTAAAACCTTTAAGAGGTGGGGCCTAGTTGAGAGGTCACTAGGGATAGGCTCTTGAAGGGGAGTATGAGACCCTGCCCCCCTGTCATGTTTTCTCTTGTCTCCCGGCAGTAAGGCAGGCCAAAGCAATAGGGCCAACTGATTATGGACTGAAATCCCCCAAACTGAGAGCTACCATAAACCTTTCCTCTTTATAACTGATTATCTCAGGTATTTTGTTATAATGATGGGAAGCTGACAAACACACCATTTCCTACCAGTTTCTAAGATACCCCAAGCAATGTGTGTCACTAGAGTTTCAAAACACTTACCTGCAAGCTGTTGTTCAGTAAATCAAAGTCACTGTATCTTCTAACAATCTGTAAGAGACAAGACAACAGTGTTTTGATTCTGCAAAGACATCTCTTTCCATTGCCTTATGAACTATTTACTGGCATTCCAGTGCTGAGGCCCTTATGCTAAGAGGAGGAGGACCTCCTGGGCTTCCTCTGTTTTATTTGACAGGCTCAGAAAACAAGCCCTGAGTTGGCTGGGCTATGGGAAACTGGTTAATGCCAGGCAAACTTACAAGACATTAACAAGTACATGAATTAATGATTTTCAAAATTAGTAAATAAATGAAGTTTTACTAAGCTTAGTCTCAAAACGAAGGGTACAGTTCTGAGGCCATATTATCCTTCCCCTGGATCAAACTCCCAAGGAGATAGCCTATCACTCTGGAGACTGGATTACACCTGCAGGAAAGACTGCCACATCTCACCTGATTTCTCGGGCTTTCCCTCTTGGCAGACAGTCCACCTTTCATTGTCTACATTCTTTCTTAGTTGTACTGATGCCACTAGTCATTCCAAGGTTCTTGGTAAGGGATTATTTCGCTTTTGAATAGATCCACTCTCAGCCTTTATTGGGGTTGTCAAATGTTGGTATACAGAAGAATTGCCTGGGAAAGCCAGAACCTCTCTCAGGAATAATCTAATTCAGTAGGTGTAGAGTGGGCCTAAGAGTCCATTTTCGCCCAGCTCTCCCAGGCTGCTAATGCTTTGGATCTAGAAAACTGCTTCCCCGCATGATTTTTCTGGTAGGACCTTGCTGTTGGTACTGCTTGCTACATCCACATGAAAAAGTTAAATTTAAGGCCATCTCTGATAAGAGCAAAAAATCAAAAATTGTACAGTGGCTGCCCCCAGAGATTATGCAAAATTCAAACCTATTCTGCCAAACATCTAAGTGTGACCTTGGACAAGTTACTTAAGCTCTCAAACGTAAAAAAGGGGTAATTCTACTACACAGGACTGGTTTTAAAGGATTAAGTGAATATTAAGGCATTTGCACTTGAAGCAGTCCTGAACCCTTAATATGCTCAATAGATGTTAAATGAAATAATTATTTAAAGAAACAGCAATTTAAAATTCTAGGCAAAGGAAAGATTTGAGTGTGGCCACTGTGGTCAGACTGCATGGGAGGAGACAAGAAACTGCATGAGGGGGCCTGGGGTTGTGGCTAGTGGCAGAGCGCTTGCTTAGCACATGCAAGGTGCTGGGTTCAATCCTTAGCACCCATAAAAATAAAATAAAGGTATTAAAAAAAAGAAAGAAAGAAAGTAAGTAACTGCATATGGTGGAAGATCAAGTTCAAGCTGAGCTCTGAAGGACAAGTTTACATTTTTGGAAAGAGGTGGAATGGTACATATAACTATTAAAACAACAGAGGCTGGGGACATAGCTCAGAGGTAGAGCAATTGCCTGGTGTGTCCAAACCCCAACACTGCAAAACCAAGACAGAAGCAAACAGGAAAGAAATGGCCCCATTCAGAACGACAAGTCAACTGGAATGGGAAAGACTTCTAGATCTGTCTAGGAAATGTTTTCTTTCTGAAGCCACCATTGGGGACGGTAGAGCTAGGGGCTCCAAGAAGACCCTCCCTTAGGGACAGTGGGGGAGCTAGCACTAGGAGTGGCCCAGGAGTGGACTTGGCCATCCATAAAATGCAGTGACCTGACTGTACAATAGTCAGGACACTGACTCCCCTTTCTGTGAACTAAACTCCCTCTAACCCCACCCACCTGAATCATGGCTGTAGGGGTCCTGCTTGTTCTGGTTTGAGCCAGAAAACAAATTCCTAGATACTCTTTCTGGCAACACTGTATATAATATAACCAAACAACTGGGAACAGAAAAACTTTTTATAATACTTATTTTAAAGTCAAAGGTTTCCATTAGGGTAGAGGAAGGGTACCTAGGAGACAGGATGGGAGAATAAGGGGGAAGTACTTATTTATATGCATATCTGAATATTCCACCATGAAACTCACTATTCTGTATAATTAATAAGTAGCAATAAAGAAAAAACATTTAAATGAAGGAAAGCTAACAGCTTATAGCTAAAAGAATATGATTTATATTTATAAATGTTCTGCTTTTCTAGTTTTTATTTTTTAATTTTTTTAATATTTATTTTTTAGTTTTCGGCGGACACAACATCTTTGTTTGTATGGTGGTGCTGAGGATCGAACCCGGGCCACACGCATGCCAGGCAAGCGCGCTACCGCTTGAGCCACATCCCCAGCCCCTTTTCTAGTTTTTAGATGGCCTAAGTCAGGGTTTTGGTGACAAGTTCAAACATATTTCTAGTTGATAAAAAGTGCTTACCTGCCAGCTGTTTTCTGCAGAAATTCCTCTTTGCACCCGAATGATATATTCCTAAAGATGGGGGAGAGAGGAAGAGCCTCAGTTATAAAACCATAGAATCAGAAACAAGTAAAAATGTCAAATAAAGTAGACTTCAGAGCAAAGAAAACAACAAGATGAGCTATTGCCTGCAAATCTAATATCCAAAATCTGAAACTTTGTGAGCATCACCATAATGTTCACAATCTTTCCGCTTATTGGACAGGAGATGTAGTTGAGTGGTACAGAGCTGGCCTAGCATGGGCAAGTCCCAAGGTTCAACACCAAGCACTGAAAAAGAGAGCGAGCCAAGTGCAGAAGGGCACGCCTATAATCCCAGTAGCTCAGGAGGCTGAGGCAAGAGGACTGAAAGTTCAAAGCCAGCCTCAGTGACTTAAGGAGGCCCTAAGCAACTTAGTGAGACCTTGTCTCTAAATAAAATATAAAAAATGGTAGGGATGTGGCAGGAATAACTAAACAGAAAACCAGTTAAGATATAGAAAAACCTAAGAATACGGTCAACCAACTGGATTTAATTAGCATTTGTAGTACACTCCATCCAATAACAGAAGAATACACATTCTTTTCTTTCAAGTGACCATGCAGCATATCCAATACAGACCACATCCTGAGCCTTAAAAAAAAAGAAAAACCTCACCAAGCTTAACCAATAACAAAGATAAGGAAAAATCTCCAAACAGTTTAAAACTAAATCACATACTTCTAAATAATCCAGGGGTCAAAGATGAAATCTCAAGAGAAAAACAAACAAACAAAAAAAAACCACTGAACAGAAAAATAACACAATGTTTGGGCTCAGAACAAGACACCCCAAATTATGGTGCCTTGCTCTATTAAATACTTTGAACTGAGGGAAATGACCAGAAGCAAAATCTGTCTCCTGCCCTTTTCCTCCCCGAGAGGAGGCCACAGAAACTAGAGCCCCTCTCCTCCAAAAGCCAGTTATAAAACCTAAAAATATTACACCACCCTTCCCCTAAATGTTTGTGTGGCTGTAAAGAAATTCTTTGATCTACCTTGTCTAATAATAGCTCACAAGATCCTCATGTCAGAAGGGTTCAGCTCTTGACCTGGGAGGGAGGAATGCCACAGAGAAAGGCTAAGAAGGATCTGAACTAAGCCTCGCAGGGCTTTCCCATTTAATCTTTTACTATAGAACATATATGTCCAATCACATGCCTAAATGGCTATTCATTCTTCATTGAACCTAATCATAAAAATAGTTCTGATAGGCACAATGGCCCATGCATGTAGGAGGCTGAGGCAAGAGATTGCAAGTTTGAGGCCAGCCTCAAAGACTTAAAGAGACTCTATCTCAAAATTTTTAAAAAGGGGTGGGGATGTAGCTCAGTGATAGAGCATCTGGTTCTATCCCCTGTCCTAGTGTTGAGGGTAGGGGAAGAGTTTTCCTTGAGACTTTGAGTCTTCATTTTTCCGAAGGCTCCAGTGTCATGTAAAATGATTAAACAAATTTGTTATGTTTTCCTATTAATTTGATTTGTCAGTTTCTTCAGACATAGTCAGGAACTCTAGGAGAGCTGAAGAAACTTTTCCTCTGCTACAACAACAGAGCAAAATTTAGGAGACCCAGCTCAAGTAGTGCTGAAAGGAAAATTTAAGCACTAAATGCTTTTGTAAGAAAAGAGAAAAAGTATCAAATCAATACTCCAAGCTCTGCCCCAAGAGCCTAAAAAAGGATCATAATCAACTCGAAGCAAGGAAAAGGAAGAAAATAAAATACAGATAAAAGCAGAAATCAATGAAATTTGAAAAGAGAAAACCAGTGAAATGAAAAACCAATTCTTTGACAAAACCAAAAACTTGACAAACTTCTAATAAAGCTGACAGGAAAGAAAGAGGTAAGACACAAATGACAGACATCAGGAATGAAACAGGCTGTCACTCAGACTCCAGACTCTGCAAGGATCAGAGGGTGACATGAACACATCTACCCACCGAAATTCGACCACTTAGATGAAACAGACTACTTCCTCGAAACCACTAAGAACCACAACTCACCCAATATGAAGTGGATAAATTTGCTATCTTTATAACTAATAAGAAAGTTGAACTCATAATGTAAAAACTCCACCCAAAGAATTATCTCGGCTTGAAGCTTTCATGGGAGAATTCTGCAAATGTTTAAAAATTCACACCCATTCTACACAAATGCTTCTGGAAAACAGATGTGGAAGAAGTAGTTCCCAATTTATTTGATGAAGCTAGTATTACCCTACCTCAAACTAAAGATGCTACAAAAAAGAACTATAGACCAATATCATTCATGAACATAGGCTCAAAAATCCTTACCAATTTTTTTTTTTTTTTTTTTTGTACCCGAGATTGAACTCAGGAGCACTTTACCACGGAGCCACATCCCCAGCCCTATTTTGTATTTTTTGTTTAGAGACAGAGTCTCACTGAATTGCTTAGAGCCTTGCCCTTGCTGAGGCTCATACTGAACTCATGATACTCCTGTCTCAGCCTCCTGAGCTGCTGGGATTACAGATATGTGCCACCATGCCTGGTCTTATCAAAATATTAGCAAATAGAACTTAACGATATGTAAAAAGAGGTTTGAGGAAGTAGCTCAATGGTAGAGCACTTGCCTAGCATGTAAAGAAAATATATGTGTACATATAGACAGACATACATATATTATACGAGCTTATTCCAGGGATATAAAGCTGATTCATTATTCAAAAATCAATCAATAAAATCTGCCATAATGAGCTGAAGAAAAAAAATCACAACTTAGATGAAACAGACCACTTCCTCGAAACCACTAAGGACTCACCCAATATGAAGTGGATAAATTTGCTATCTTTATAACTAATAAGATGATGCAGAAGCTGGGCATGGTGGCACATGCCTATAATCCCAGCAACTTTGGAGGCTGAAGCAGGAGGGTTGCAAGTTGGAGGTCAGCCTCAGCAATTTAGCAAGGCCCTAAGCAATTCAGAGAGACCCTGTCTCAAAATGAAAAATAAAAAAGGGCTGAGGATGTGGTTCAAGGATTAAACACCCCTGGGTTCAATCCCTGGTACCAAAAAAGAAAAAGAAAGATACAGAAAAACTGTTTGACAAAATTCAGCACCCTTTCATGATAAAAACTTTCAGAAAAATAGGAATAGAGGATAACTTTGTCAATCTGATAAAAAGCTTCTACAAATCTCCTAGAGATAACACACTGGATGGTGAAAGACAACATTTCCCACTAAGATAGGAACAAGGCAAGATGTCTGTGCTCACTGTTCTCATTCAACACAGTTCCAAAAAGTATATGGATCAAATGGAAGAAATAAACAGGTTCTATTTGCAGGTGGCATGATAATCTATGTAGAAAATCTCAAGGAATCTACAAAAAACTTCCTTAAATTAATAATTAATTTTAACAAGGCCTCAAGGTACAAAAGTCCTTTGCATCAATAAGTAAGTATATGCTGGGTATAGTGGCACGCCTGCAATCCCGGTGGCTAGGGAGGATGAGGAAGGAGGATTTTGAGATCAAGGCCAGTCTTAGAAATTTAGTGAGACCCTAAGCAATTCAGTGAGACCCTGTCTTTAAATAAAAAATAAAAATTACTGGGGTTGGGGCTCAATGGTTAAGTATCTCTGGGTTCAATTCCTGGTACCCTCCTCCCCAAAAAAGTAAGTATATGAATATCCATTATATATCTATATTCATAGTAGTTTGACTACTGATAGTGCCCAAGGAGAAACAGACAGACCTTTCTCAATGGGTGGTTAAATTCTGCTATATCCATACCATGGAATACTACACACAAACATGAATGAAATATTGATACACACAACTTGGATGACTCTCCAGAGAATTATGCTGAGTGAAGAAAGCTAATCCCATAATGTTATATTCTGAATGATTCAATTTATATCATTTTCTTGAAATCACAAAATTATAGAGATGAAGAACAGAGTAGTGGTTGCTAAGAGTTAAGGCGAGGATAGGGGCTAGGTGGGTGAGGGAAGTGGATGTGTCTGTAGAAGGACCAAATGAGGGATGGCAATGTTCTCTATTTTGCATCGAGGTCAATATCGTGATTGCGTGTCATACTATAGTTTTTGGAAGATGCTATAATTGGGGGAAATTGAAGTATATGGGTATATGGATCACACTGCATTATTTCTTATAGCTGCACATGAATCTATAATTATCTCAAGTATAAAGTTTAATTTAAAACTAAGCAAAATGCAGACATTCAAAACTAGATGTCTATTAGTCAGAAGACTATGATTTTTAGTGTTCAAAGTATGCATTTCATATCCAGTCAGCTATGAAAGACTATGATTAACAAGTAAAAAGGTATAATAGATATGCATCAAGGCCATTTCCCAAAGAAAACAAATCTCCTGACCCTCAAACCTGCCCAATCATAAAAATCACCAGGCAAGGTGGTGTATTTGAATATATTCCCAGGCCTGCATCAAATCTGTTAGATCAGAATCTCTAGGAAACACACACACACACACACACACACACACAACCTAGGTATTAGAAGTTTTAATAGCCTCCCCAGGTAATTCTTATTAATAAATAAGAAAGAAACCCAGACTCAGTACAACCTCCTACAGAGACAAACAAGGATTTCACAAGGTATGGATTAAATCATATAAAGAATGTTAACATTTTTTGTCTTCAAATGCTCAGAACTGTTATACTAATTTTGGGTGGAATGAATTAGGCATTACTTAGTCACTACTCAACAAATGTTCAATACAGTACTCCACAAATCTTTTCTACTGAATTAATCTCACTGACTTAAGTAGATTATTTAGAAAATAAAGCCAAAGAAGCATTGTTAACCTGGCAACTGGATTTTAGAACTGACCTTATTACACTACCATTCATTTCCATTCTATCAGCAAAGGCTGATAAAGTCCACAGAAGCAGAAACTTCTGCCTATGTGTGAAGGACAGTATAGCCAGGTGCAGTGGCAATCCCAGTGACTTGGGAGGCAGAAGCAGGAGGACTTCGAGTCAAAAAGTCAGC